CAGCAGTGTCACATATCCTGCAATTTGGAGAAGGGCTCACATCTCTGCCGGGAGATGCTGCACTTTCAGCAGGAGATGCAGCACCCAATGTGAGGGATGCACATCTCTCAATGAGATGATACATCTCCAACAGCAAATCACCGCATCTCCCGAGTGTGGGTGCCGCGTCTTCCGCGGGAGATGCCGTATCTCCTGTGGGAGAAGTGAGCAATTCTCCAAAATCTTGGATACGTGACACCACTCTCAAAAGTAAAAGCTATTACTGCAGTCTAGTATATATGTAATTTATCTTCTGTATGGATAGTTGTAATTGACTGTCGATACCATTTTTACAGAACACCAATGGAAAGAATCTTATTACTAAACGAAGCAAGTATACTACTAGAACGGTAAAACATGAGCATTGCTGTCGAACGTATCCCATATCAATGATACTAAGTTTAGTCTCTCAACATTTATTTGTTCGATTTCAGTAATATATTCGTTTGGAACTATTAGCTCACAAATAATGTATCAAATAATAATCAACTGAAAAATAAATCATATCATAAAACGTAAATGAAAAATTTTACTTAGTAATTTGACAATTTTTAATACAATTTTCATTGTTAGTGCATTTCATCGCGATATGTTCTTTTCTTTTACAAGAATAGTCTTCAATGGTTCATCTAATCCTAAATTATGTGGAGCTTTCCCATATGTTTGACTGCGATCAAATTGCGACGCAGTTACGCGTAACTGCGTCGCAGTCGATCGCAGTCCAATACATCGATTTTTTACTGCGATTAATGCGCCGCAGTTACGCGCAGTTACGATCAAAGTTTTGCAGTTAGGCACAAATGCGACGCAGAATTGGCTCTACCCGTAACTCGACGCAGTCGTCAAAAAGCTGGCGACAGGGGTTAAAACTGAGAAATTAAAAGAAAGAAACAGAAATTATTGGTTGTACAAAAAAACCTTCTAATACAAGTATGATTAAAAAGAATAGAAATTAATAGAGGACGCTATAACCTATTTTTGTTCTAAATTATGATCAAGAAACAGTCTAACAGTTAATATTTGAGTATACAGATTTTTTTCGAAACAATTATTAATAAAAAAAAAGCAATTATATGATATCAATTTTGTATTACTTTTAAACACTACGAAGTAATTAATTTTATTAGATCATTTTTTTAAATGATTAACAAAATACTATACTATAAATCTTACATTTTATTTATTTGACTATAAACAAAATGAAGTAGTTTATTTTAGTGGTATAACATTTTCAATACTCACCAACAAACATACTGTTCATGATTATATATGAATTTCGGTATATTTATTTTATATTATTTGTTAATGTGAAAATTAATTATTTTAGAATTGTTTTATATTAATGATTGAATTTTGATGATCATTTTAACATAATTAATGATGAAAGATGTTTACTTGAATTGATTGATTGAGAAAAAAATTCGAAATTAATTTTTGTAAAGATTTTATCTCATAATTCTATTCATGCTAAATAATGGGTAAACTTAATATATACGTACGAGTGATGAGTAGAGATGTATGAAACCTCTCCATGTCGCCGGAACCAAGACGAGAACCGAAAAATATCGCTCTTTCGCGACCAAGCGTGGGACGTGGTTTTGAATGTGGATGTCTATGCTGATCTTGATTTGAATTTTTTTTCTTCCAACCTATCTACACATTTACACTTTTTTTTTGTCTTTCAAAAGAAAGACTCTTATTTAAAATGAACTTATGATTGTCTATCAAACATGGGATTGGCAAATAAAGAGACAAAAAAGTATTTATCCTGGAAAATCTATGTCTATCTAGAAACCTAGACCTCATGTTTGCGATGTTGTGGTAACGTTGTTGGATGGTTAAATGAATTTAATAGAAAACAGTACAATTACAGACGTAGTCACTGTATTCGGCATGACATTCATTATAGTTTTCTACAAAGTTTATCGAGGTAATCTTGATTCGCTTTCACTTGAGAATGGTCAGGCCCAAACGCGCAATGTACGATTTCTACTGCTTGCAATGCATGTTCAATGGCCTCTTTGTATCGATGAAGATTTTCGAAGACACAGGCTACATTACTATGTGTGATAGCTCGCGAAGAATTATGTACTGGAAGAGTTTTTTCTTGTATTTCTAGTGCCTTCTCATAATACGAGAGCGCAGTTGTATTGTTTCCTATTGATCGGTACACCTTTCCGATATTGTTATAGATGAAGGATAGCGAAACATGATCGGATTGAAATACTTTTGTCGCGATTTCAAGCGCCTTCTCAAAGTGTGAGAGTGCAACCGAATAATTTTCTATGGAATAATGAACTCCACCTAGATTGTTATTAGTTATGATGAAGTCAAGACTATCTGGAAGTAGTACTTTTTGTTGTATTTCGATGGCCTTTTGAAAAGATTCCAGAGCCTTAAAGTGATTTCTCATCGAATTATGAGTCTCACCATGTTTATTGTAGGTTAACGCCAGTGCAGAATAATTCATTGGAAGTGAATTTTGTCGAATTTCAAGAACTTTCTCGGAGAATATGAGTGCAGTCGAGTAAGCTCCCATTGATCGATGTACCTCACCAATGTTATTGTAAGTGATAGCCAGATCTGAGTGATTGAAAGGAAGAGATTTTTGTCTAATATCAAGTGTCTTCTCATAATATAGCAATGCATTCGAGTAATCTTCTGTTGTAAAGTATATTCCACCAATGTTATTGTATGTGGTAGCCAACGATGTATGATTAGATGGGAGAGATTTTTGTTGGATTTCGAGCGCTTTTTTATAGAATAAGAGTGCTTTCGAATAATCTTCCATCGCTTGATGTACTCCGCCAATATTGTTGTAAGCAATAGCCCGTGAGGGATGATCAAGTGGAAGAGATTTTTCCACGATTTCAAGTGATTTTTGAAAGATCAAGAGTGCAGTAGTGTGATTATTCACTGTGTAATAAACTCCACCAATGTTATTATAAGTCTCAATCAACTGGAGATGATTGGCTGACAGAGATTCTTCTTGAATTTCAATAGCCTTTGTGAAGTAAGATAGTGCCGTCATGTTGTTTCCCATCGCCTGATGCACACTTCCAATGTTGTTGTACGTAGTGGTCAGCGATGGATGATTGGGTGGATGTAATTTTTCTTGAATTTCAAGCGTTTTAACATAACAAGAGAGTGCAGCAGAATAATCACCCATTTGTTGATGTATGTCGCCAATGTTGTTGTGGATTGTAGCTAGCGATGGATGATTGGGTGGAAGAGATTTTTGTTGAATTTCAAATGCTCTCATATAATATGATGATGCAGTAGAATTATTTCCCATCGCTCGATGTGTTGCACCAATATTATTGTAAGTTGCTATCAGTGAAGGATGATCGAGTGGAAGATATTTTTCTTGAATTGCAACTGCCTTCTCATAGTATGACAGTGAATTTGAATAATCACCCATAGAATAGAAAATTCGACCAATGTTGTTACAAGTATCAGCCAACGAGGGATGAGTGAATGGAAGAGATGTTTGTTTTATTTCAAGTGCCTTTTGATAGTATGAGAGTGCCAGTAAGTCATTTTCCATCAGTCGGTATACCTCACCAATGTTGTTATAAGCAGCTGCAATCTGCAGTTGATTGGGTCGTGGGGCACCAAGATCAATGTTAAGAGCACGTTCATAGTATTCTAATGCACTACGAAGATCATTTTGACGGCAGAGAATCGAGCCAATATTGTAATAGGTTCCAGAAAGTTCAGGATCATTGGATGGCAGATTAGCTAATCTGATATTGAGAGATTTATTGTTGTGAGAGAATGCTTTGACAAGATCGCCCTTCATGGAACTTATGTATCCTAGCATATGATGGACATGGGCAAGTTCTTTCCAATCATGATCAAATATCGTCTCTTCAAGCGTCTTGTAGATTTCTTCGGCTTTGTTTAATGCACCCATTTTAATCATCAACTGACCCAGCCGATGCAATCCTGTTGATCCTTGTGTCTCTATGCGCATACACTCCGTAAGACGGGTTAACTGCTCATCAGTGTCACTTGTTAGGGATAGATCCACTTGCCATAATCGATCATCAATTTGTACAATCTCATTGATTCGAAATACGGTGTGCATTGAAAAGAGAATTTCTTTTTCCAAACCTGAAAAGTAACTTATATTGTCTATCGAGGCGAATGGAGTTGATGAAAGTGTTGGATCAATTTGCATTCTAAAGAGAACTCCTGTTAAAGTTGGATCATTTCGAGCACTCTCCGCAAAGATTTTTGCGACTTCTTCATCAACACTAGTCGACAAGAAATTATTGAAGGAAAGAAGACAACCTTTACTTTTACTCAACTCGTCAAATTCAAAATTCGACATTCCTTGTCCCCGATAGACGGTCAATGGATGACGATCATTTGATTCGAAGTATAGTTGTTCGATGTGTCGATGGAGATCTCGAACGAAACATCCCATTTTCATGATAACCTCAGTATCTTGTACCCTGAGAGCTCTATTGAGCACTGAATATATAAATGGCTCTTTTGTATACCACCAAATAGGCGAATGAAGATGGTACTCTCGTTCAAATTCATCAATATGAAGCCGTTGCTGCTTGCTATCAGAATTTTGTACACGACAAAAATCAATAAACTTTTGCTTTGCTTTATCATCATATTTCATATCGAGAAGAATCTCTTTAAGTAACTGTGAATACATGAATGACTGATTGAGCTCATTCATATCACTGGCAGACGATGATATAAGAATACTAATTGGTATAAAACCTTTTTCAGCCTGCTGGATGGTTTTCTTAATTTCATCATAAATAGATCCAATCTGACTAAACACTCCTTTCACTTTTCTTCCCTTATTTATTGACTGTTTATATTTTGATTCTTGAGCACAAAACACATAGATTGAGTGAAGTTGAGGTATTTCTTGGACAATAGGCACAATTTGTTGCCAAAACATGTCAGATATAATTAGAAATACGTTTTTGTCTTTGGTTTTAGTGAGAAATTCAACACACTGATTCGAGTCAGTAAATATTTCGATCGTACTGCAAATACGTCGAAGTTGAGTGATTGATTTGTAACGGTCATCATCAGAGTCATTCATGTTTAAAGACAAACAAACGACAATACAATCCGGAATGATGAGATATGAATGCAAAAGACCATTGTTGCCATGCTTCTCTTGAATATTGTCACATGTGGTGCGTAGATCATCTCTTATCCCGGTCGATGTTAGTGTAAATTTTGTCTGATCATCAGCGTCACCACTTGGTATGCGAACTGTGCTTACTTGGTTGAAGGATGAATTTGTGCTGAGTTTTGAGTATTCTTGCTCCATAATACACCAAACAATGCTAAAAATTAAATCATTCGATGAATATTGTCGTGTTATTATATGAATGCATCGTTTTTATGCACACTTTCCTCTTTTCTTGCTATGCATCATTGATGCGCTTGCTGTCTTTTGTTTTTTTCTCTTGGAGCGTGCCTCTTATATATTTTGCATACGTTTATCGATTCTGCTCCTTTTGATAAAAATTAAGCATGTACACTTGTCAATCGTCACTCTCATGAAACACAAGTTTGATGAGTGTTGAAATAATTAGGGACAAATACACTTATCGATCCCCCCCCCCTTCATGTATTGCGTATATATTGACCTAATTCGACTAATTAGCCTCTGAGGAGTTCATTAAAAGTATTCCCAAGGGCCCCAGACCAGTAGTTTAAGAGATAACGTGTATTAGTCCCGCTTGATACAAGCCTTACAAAGCATCTCAATAGCTGAGGGTGAAGGCAAAATCTTGATACAACCGCCAAAGAGCATCTCCATAGCTGAGAGTGCCATAAAACAATATTTCATGGCACCCTCAGTTATGGAGATGCCCTTTGGCGGCTGTATCAAGATTTTGCCTTCACCCTCAGCTATTGAGATGTTTTGTGAGGCTTGTATCAAGCGGGACAAATACACGTTGTCTCTTAAACTATTGATCTGGGATCCTTGGGAATACTTTTAATGAACTCCTCAGAGGCTAATTAGTCGAGCTAGGTCAATACATGACGGGGGTCGATAAGTGTATTTGTCCCCAAGACCTGTTACTCAAACTGCATCTTTGATGATTACTCTCGAGGTCAGCTGTTTCAATATTAAATTAGCAGTAATCTGTTTAATCTTACAATGATCCAAAATCATCCGTTGGATGAGACTATGACTCAGATCAGTTTGCGCTCTCAAATCGTCAACTGTAATATAGGGATCATCGTTAATAAAGTAATGGATCTGTTTGATATCTATTTATATAATGTTCAGTGTGTGTTCGTGCACAGTCAAAGGTGAAAATTTAAAGATTAAGAACCACGCGTGAAAGTATTGTTGAGTGTAGACTCGAGTGGAATGAGAGTGGTTGAGTAGGAGCTGATGTAGAATGCGATGGAGTCAGAGTGGATGGATTAGGTCTGGTGTTGGGAGTAAGTGTGATGTGCGGGTGAGCAGGGCGATGTCTGGGTAAAGGGGTGAGGGGATGTAGTGTAGGGGTGAAGAGAGTACGGTATCAGGGTGAGAGATGTGAGTGCGTATTGTTGAGTGAGAATAGATGTGCTCATAGTTTGACGTGTGAGTGGGTGAGGTTGCGGTTGTATTGTAGATCATTACGTAACATACACACCACACTTGCATGCAAAATCCTTACTGCAAACCTACAATCACTCACATTAATCTGCCCACACAAATAACTTGTATGGAAATGGTGGAAGTAAGGGCTCTAACTACATCTTTGACAATTTCCTCACCGTCGGAAAAAACTTGCTTGTGTGATGAAAATGTACGAGTTCTCGCTAATGTTTACATATTGTTCAGTTACAGATCCATTGTATTATGTTCTGTCTGCAACATCTTTTCGACTTTCACAAAGCTTTTCATATCATCTATCAACTGTTCTTATAGGGGAGGCTAGTCAACGAAAACCAAAGATAGTGTACTACGGACTTGGATGTGGAAGCAGAACTTTTCCTTATGCGCCGAAATTTGAAATGAACCACATTTTTTTGCAATTCTAATATTATCGTATCATGAAGAATAATGAAATACTATTAAGTTCTAGAGCACTGTTTGAACTATCAGTATACATGTAGAACTAATTTCCTCGAGCTTTCTATAAGGCATTATAGTGCTACTGTCATTACTTTTGATGTAGACTATCTATGATAAACTGCTTGTGATTGTTATTAGTTACTGGTAACTGTCGTAAGATAAACGAAGATTTTTCTGAAAAACTTTTCTAATTAAAATAATGTAAATAACTGGAGAGATAATCATGGAATTTTATAAATAGCCCTTATTTGAATTTATAATTCGACATCAATAAGATTGTTTTTCATGGTGTGAGATAAAACTGAATCATTTCTTCTGTTTTTTTCACTTTTCAATTTTGCGAAATTGTAATTTAGGGGAAAAAAGTAGAAGAAATCAGGAAAACATCTTTGGAAGATACTTCGTAAGAGAAGAAAAATCTAGAAATGAAGAGTTTCGAGGAGAAACTCGAAGGTTTATAATAGTTCGACTGGAAATCGATCGTCGACATGTGGTGATATGATATTTGAATAGTTATTAATGTCTTATTAGCTGTTCAAGGTGTTCTTAGATGTTGGATCAAACTTCTCAATGTTCATTTAATAAAAAATGGATTTAAAATAGCAGCAAAAAAAAACAATCAGTGTTATTAATGTGACATCAAGTTATGATGAACAACATTTATACATAACAGGCGGTTTTGCTTTTTATGGTCAATGTGAAATCGCTCAATTACCTTACCTTAATGAATTGATTGAATTATTTTATTCAATAATACGTTCAAATTTACCTGATGAAATCGATGCAAGCGAATCAGAAATTCTTCCAATGAGATCTTGTATTCGTCCAATGACGCCTGATGGAATGCCCATTATTGCTCAATCAACTGATGAGAATAAAAAAAAAACAAGTGTACTTTGCTGGTGGAACAAATGCTAGAGGATTTGTTGAATCTACAGTTGTAGCAACAATGCTTCTAGGTTTAATTCAAGGCTCAAAAAGTGATACAAGCCTTTGCCATGTTTATAGATCTTTACGTCTTGATAGGAATACTTTATTATTTAATTTAATCTCATCGAATTGATTTTATCATATTGAAACTAAATACTGTTATCATTTATTGTCTGTATGCTCCATTAAATGAAAATATTTTATCTCGTTTCTAAACAAACATGATTTTCTGAATTTGATTTGTTTTTCCTTAAAGATGAAAGCTGTTTATTTTTGATGATAAAAGATAATCACTAACAGTCTTTAATAAAAATCAGACGAAAATTATCAAAATTTATATAATAAAGAAAAACTCATTAAACAATTGAAGATAAAATACTGTCAGGTCTATTCCTATTTCATCAAGATATCTTCGGTTGTATAGGCAAAAAACTAATGACAATTTTTAACAGCTTACAGTTTATTATCACGGATGAAATGGGTCTCTGGAGTTTATGGACAGAATTAAAAGATTTTTGTCTATGACTGCGCGCTTTTAAAACAAGAATAAGTTTCTACTTGTTTATTCTATGAATTCTCTGCATGTTATAGAACAGAATTTAATTATTACTATCATATATAGAAAACATATTAAACAGAAAGAGAGATACAAACCGAAATATAACGGTGAAGCAATCAGAAGAAGGATCTACAGATATATTTTGAACTAATCAATACTAGAATAGACATCCAAGTTTTTTAAATAGAGTTAATTTCACCTTTTTCGACTATTCATCTTGCAACAAATTTGTTTTTCAGACTAAAAAACATTCTATGAAATCTAAACAACGAACTCAATTTTATCTTTTACGTTTTTGAGAAAGAATAATTATCTTTTTACGAAATTAAAAAGCTGTTTGCTACTTTCAATAACAAACTCATTTATACACATGACTATTAATCAAAAATATACTTTAGAGAAAATATGGTTATTTAAGAATGTGCCGTAACTAAGTTGCAAGTCTTTTAAAACTGATTACAGTCATGCAATTGATATTATTTGCTGAATTAGAGCTTCTCTTATGGTTGATAAAAATTCTCTGACTATGTTGATTCTTTCAAAAAAAGTAAACAATCGTTAAATAACAATTAATCATATTTCGGATTTAGAAGAAGTTTTTGTGGGCGAAGTTAGTGACGATCGTAACGACTGTTCAAAAACAAAATTATTTTGACTTCAGAAACACAGTAGCACGTTATTTAAACTAAAGATCAGAGATTTATTAGGAGAACTACGATTCTATCATCATTACTGTTTCTCTAAGCGGATAAAAACATTGACTTTGCTTTCTTGCTTGTTTGAAAAAGATTTTATGCACCTGTATATCTATCTCTGGAAAAATTTAAGCCCTGCTGCATGTTTGTTTCTTCACTTTAAGCTGTCAAGCATAATGAAAATTTGTACTTTTCAATAGAACATCTCACTTGCGATAGTTCCCTCAATCGAGTCGGGTCAGCCTTAATTTTAACATAATTTGAAATCGCAATTATATTGTATAGGGTCGTTTTCCATAACTTAAACGTTCGTTCACGGTCGTTTATCAACGGTAAACGTTGATGTATAGTGCCGTGTAAGTCAGATATGCAGTCATGTTATGGTAGTTTTTTATCTATAAGTGCTCTACTTTAATACCAATTTGCTAAATGATATTTTCCGTCAAATGTACTTTTCAAATGCTTTACATCTATAGTAAAACTACTTCAACAACTTGATTTGAAAAAAAAAAAGAATTTTCAACTTGGCGCTAGCTTCGGACATTGTTTCAACCATCGGACCCAATCGATAGAGAATTTTTCTATGAATCACAGTGGTTTGGAGCGTTTCTTCGGCGAATCTTTCAGATCAGCACCTAGTCATTCATCGGAACTTCGGAGAAGCGCTACTTACGACTAGCCGTTCATGTGCTTCAGTCTACTTTCCAGAAAACCATCCTGTTTTATTTACATTCTAGCTGATTCATGTTCTGCTTTTTCGAAAAATTGTTAAATTTACAACGGAAGAATTCTCTATGGAAAATTACAAACGAAGACTTTGTTATGAAGTATTTCGTATGTTTTGAATTTTCCAGTCTCTCTATCTCATCAGCATAACATTGAAATTTTGTATTAATGAAATTTTGTTGGAGTATTCTCAAAAAGCATCCTAGATCTAATACAGATCGTTCCTGAAGCACATTTGCAATGAACCAAAGACATCAGTAACTAGTTGTTCGTCGGCGTCACTGTGCTATGGTCAACGTCATGAAAAGATCAGTCTCTTTTCTTCACAATATAGCCAAGTAACACTTCGGCGACTTGCATAAAGCATTCAATTATCAGCGACAAAATTTTCATTTGAAAATGGAAATTACTAGGAGTATTGTGAAACTATCTATAGATAGAGTACACTGAGTCAACGCTTACGAAATAAGAGTTTGAACAAGCAACTGAATGCTCAGCTCCTACGAAGAAAAAACCAACACTGACCAGAGATCATGTGATTGGCTGAAACTTCTGCCAAGAAAAACTGATAAGACAAAATTTAGACCCTGAAAACATCTTATAAACTGAGATTTCGCTCACAAAAGAACAATTGGTAGACATTTTGATACTTCTAACATCTTATTCGCGGAGCTCCCACGAGTTAATAGGTTGACTCCACGAGAGTCTGATAGTAAAATATCTGATTGGTTGAATTCTCAACATAAAAGATCCTTATCTGAAAACTCTGCTCTAAACCGTCACAAATATGTATACGCGTGGCTTAGCATGTGCAGGCAAACATACATTCATAGACACAAACGCATGTTATTTCATATGACTCTCTTTTCAGCCGAGGAGATAAAAACTTGTACTCTTCAGGAGAATATCTCATCTGTGATAGTTCTCCTCGGTTGGATCGGGCCAGCCTTGATTATAATATTATTGGGCTTCAAGTATAAACCAATGAGAACATTCGAAATATTTTCCAAGAAGAAATATATTATTTAATTGATTATATTAATTAAAGAGAAAAAAACATATAGGAACAGTTAACAATAATGAAAAATTTGATTGAGTGAATAAATCTAATGTTGAGTAGATTCTTTTTTCTTTGTTCTTTCAAAAGTTAAGCTTATCAGAGAAAACACGCGTTTGTTACTTTGTCACTTAAAAAATAGTTGATAAGTGAGAGCGTGTGATAATGGTAAGACAAAAATGAACTTGCTAAAAGAATTTCAAAAAATTTTTTATTATTTATGCTATTGCTCAAAGAATTATTTAATATTTGAAATATTAATGTCGAATACAGAATAAATTCATAGATTATTCTTGATTTTGATAATAAAGATTTATAATTTCATTCATCTCAAGAATTTGTGATTTTATTTTCAAATTTTTTTCTTAAAGAATGAATCAAAAGATTTGGCTGTTTCTGTTATAAATGCATGGAAAAATTATGGTCATTGGTGCAAATCAATAACTGTTTTACATGATATAAATCTCCATGTGTCAACAGGAATAATGTATGTTATTTAATTTGAAAACAGAAAGAAACTAAAATGATGAATATTGAAATGTAGATATGGTTTATTAGGTCCATCTGGATGCGGAAAAACAACACTTTTACGTTGTTTAGTTGGTCGTTTAGAATTAAATCGAGGTGAAATAATTGTATTGGGTAAACGACCAGGTAGTCGGGGACATGGAGTTCCTGGTCGATCAGTTGGTTTTATGCCACAAGAAACAGCACTTTATAAAAATTTTTCAATATCAGAAATGCTTCATCATTTTGGTCGCCTTCATAATATGAAGCGTAAAGATATTTTATCTCGAGAAGAATTTCTTGTTTCATTTCTTGATTTACCTTCAAAATCAAAAAATGTTTCACAATTGAGGTTAAATTTGTTTTGAATAATAAAAAAACAAAAGAATTTATGTTTTTTTGTAATCAAGTGGTGGCCAACAACGTCGTGTGTCCTTAGCATGTGCTCTTCTTCAACAACCTCAATTATTAATTCTTGATGAGCCAACTGTGGGAGTTGATCCTTTACTTCGAGAAAAGTTTCTATTTAGTTATTTCATTATTTTAGGATTTTATTTTATTTTTGTCTTAAGAATCTGGAGTCATCTTATAAATATCGCAAAAACAAGTAAAACTACAATAATAATAACGACTCATTATATTGAAGAAGCAAGAAAAGCTGATCGAGTAGGAACTTCTTATTGTTTGATTTGTAATAGAAATAAAAAATTGTATTTAGGTTGGACTTATGCGTAGTGGAAGAATGTTAGCTGAAGATGAACCATCTCTTCTTTTGCATAAATATAATCAAACAGTTTGTTTTTATTTTTATTAAAATAATTCAATTAAATGAAAAAAAAATGTTTTTAGAGTCTAGAAAATGTTTTTCTTCAATTATGTTCTCAAGATCAAAATCGTTTTCAACAACATACTTCAATGAATAATGCAGACGGTGATAGAGACACTGATATACCCAATGATATTGATGATCAAAATTCATCTTCTACTTCTATTCATGTGTCAGTCAATACAACTAGTGAAAATCTTCTTCCATTAGATAATGGGAAAAGAAAATTTGAAAAAAATCGTAAGATTAAGTCTAAAGAAAAACAAAAAAGAAATAAAAACTAAAATACTTTTACTAGTCGTTCGCAAATCGTTTAATCAGATAAACAAGTTAATGATTTTGCCGTCCAGTTCTCTACGCATTTTCCAATGAACAAACGTCTTATTCCTAGCAAAAAAAGAAAACTGCTAAATGGTCTTAAGTCGTGAAATATTTTGCCAAACAGGCATTTCTAATCAGTGACTGAAAAACCTCGTGACAATATTTGACCATTGTATTTGTCTTTCTAAGATGTTACTTCTTTTTCTTCACTTATTCATTCATAAGCAACAATAAGTCATCTATCTGAAATGAAAAGTGAATTTTAAAAATAGTACGGCCTATCACAAGACATTGATTATATTTTTAATACAGTTTAATTTATTGCTAATATTGATTTTAACTTTTTTATTTAGACTTCAGTAGAAAGAAAATAATTACACTCCGTTTCGATTGATTTGTTTAAATAAAGTCTCTTTGGTCAAAATCGAGATAGTTTACGAAATCTGAGTATGTAAAAAGTTTCAGCGTCAAGAATTCGACAGGATCATCGGTTTTTGGAAGGTTTTAAGCTAAGTTTTATCGGCCAATGACGGTTGATTTTCAGTAGTTTTAGTCAAGTTTTAGTAAAATATCTTTTTCTTCTTCTATTAGTCTTCTTTGACAAGAAAATAATAATTGAATTTTACTATTTAAACTTCAATAACTTAATCAGTTTATTTAAGTAAATAATATTATAAGAAAAAAGTTTAAATTAGTATTAATGGTTAAGTGATCAGTCACTGATAGTGATTAGCCATTTAAAAATAAAACTGAGATCGGAATCGTAAAATAAACCTCTTTGGAATCATTTTATAAGAACCGGAACCGTTAAAACATCAGATAAATGGAAAAAATTCGTAAATCTATTTCGAGAAATCTTTATTTCTTAGGTCTTGATATTAAAGATTCCAGTGAATATATACAAAATTGTTTAATTTTAATGATGTAGTGTGTGATGTCATAAATTCTAAGTTTTAAAGTGTGACATTGCCTTAAAAAAAAATTTTTTTAAATCTTCGTATTTATCTGATGATTTAACAATTTCGGTTCAATGGAATGCTTCAAGAAGCAAACCGTGACTGGCTTTCTCATTTTTATTAAACGGAAGTAACGAAAACTATTCAATGATTTTTTTCATAAAGCATATATTTTCTTGATATTTACAATGAATATTTAATCTATGAGAAGAAGAGAGATCGAAAATGATAAAAAGAAAAGTAATAATGTTATTTATGAAAAGCTCCTTATTAAGCTTTTATATATGCTAAACGAGTTGCAGCTGATTATCTTATATTACCTCATATGCATAAAATTTATGCATTAATGTTGAAAGATTTAACAGTAATTAAACGGAGCATTGGGTAACTTTTTTTAGTATTTCATTTATTGTTTAATGTGGGTTTCTTTATAGTTTTTTGTTGTTTCAATTCTTAATTCCTGTTATTCAAGTTGCACTTTTTTGTCTTTGTATTGGTCGTATGTTAATTTGATATTTTATTGGTTTAAACTATTTTGAAAATGATATTTAGGTGAACCTGAACATATTCCAATGGCACTTTATAATAGTGAAGCAATAAATGGATTTCCAACAGGAAATTTAAGTTTACAACTTTTAAATAAAATAAATCCTCAACAAATTCAATTTGTATGTCAAAGTATTTCTTTTTAGTTAAAATTTATTTTATTTTAAAACTGAAGACGTCATTTAATGAGCTTGATAAAGCAATGGACGTTGTTAAACAAGGACATTATTGGGGTACTGTTGCTATTCAATTTAATTTTACACAAGCAATCAAAAATAAGTTTGCATTTTTTTTATTCTCATTTTATATATTTTGTTATTTTACTCGATTTTTATTTTAAAGATTATTACGATTTCAAACAGATCCAGCTACTTTAAATGCATCATCGCTTCATCTTTATCTTGATATGACGAGTAAGTCTACAATTTAACATTTATTTCTTCAGTAAAAACATAATTAAAAAATGAATTTTTCTTTTTTCTATATCGAGATACTCACAACAATTCACTATTAAAGAGTTACACGAGAGTTTGATTATTTTATAAAAATATAAAGACAAGATCGTATGTCAATTGATCAAACAAACTTGAAAGATTTTTGACCGGATCAAATAAAAAGTTTATATTATTTGATCCAGTCAAAAATATTTTCTTAAATATGGCATGAGCAGTTTTATTCATCACATGAAACTAAAGCACAACCTTTATTCAAAGATTGTATAAATTTTTCTGAAAGTTCGATATCGTTTCTCTGCCAGAGAAAATTTGCATGAAACACTGAGCACTATGAAAAAATTGTTGGAATCGATCTAGTTCTGTTTGTTAGTGCGCGGACAAAGGTCAAATCAAACGAACGAAATTCAAATCTTCATCAAATCGATCATTTCTACATCGATTATCCAATGTTTCATTATTTAACTTAATCTCTTTGATTATGCAAACAGATCCATGACACAAAAATAAATTCTCTTCACTAAGTCTCAGACATCTTTTTCAAGAATTTTTCAGTCTTATTGGGTGTATCTACACGCATAATTTTGCGTGTCTTTGTGTCTATTACTGAGTCAACGATTTATAGTCAATGATCAAAATCTAAGAGTTAAGGATTGAGAGTTAAAACTTAAATGAAGACACATAACCATGCTATGTGTACGGATACTTGCTAATTGAGAACATATATTTATGATTGACAATCATGTTTGCTATGGTTTTCTAAGCAATGAACATGCTTTACATAACAGACAAATGTTGTTGAAATCATCAATCTTCTTTCTTACAAAGAAATTGTCCGTTCTATTATTCAAAAAAACAGAAATTTTAATACAATGTTGCGCTGTCATATTGATGAGTTTCTACGACTTAACAGCGACCTCAATGGAGTTTTTATGTAAGATATGGCACTAGTCATTTGATGAAAGTGAAACTTGACCATGTCTGTTGCGCTAAAGAAAAATTTTATCAAGAAGCAGGTCCTGAAGCGATGAAAAAGTTTTTTTCTCACTTTCACCTCTTTCTTTTTCTTTTTTCTTTAGATACCACTATTCATTGGTATATCTACAGAAAGAAAGTGCTTTCATTTGACACGTAATCAAAATTAAAAGAACTGAAGACAGAAAAAAACTGGATGTGAACACTGCATAGTATGGTACTAGAGAAGGAAGATGATATCGAGTTTTAAGTCAGCCAAGTACAGTCAATGAAGTCTAACTATGTGATTCAAATTACAATCGAACCTAGCTAACTGAGTTACCTATAAGGAAAACAAAAAACTAATTTTCGCGAAAAGATGGATTCCATGGTTGAGCCACTCCACTCATTCACATGGAAATTTTCGAAGAGTTCTTGCGTCAATTGCAGCTTATGATATCTTCCAATCTGCATTTATTCATTCATGAATGCCTAAATAGATCTGGATACGTCTAGAAATTTGCTATTGAACAGTTTCAGGTCTAAGATAACATTCAATACACATAATAAATTTAATTGTTTTTTTGAATTCTTATTTGTTTTATTGAAAAAAAATAAAGCAATAAAGCTATTCTTTACTGTATAATTTGCATGTGACTTCCATTATAAACCCAATAATAAAATCTGTCAGATCCAGGCCGCATCTGAATCGGTTAAGCTCTGTTGAATGTGCAAGTCTGACTCGAAAAACATTGGTATCCAACACTTTTCATTCAGGGTTCATTCCCGAACGAGACGTCTAGTTCACGAAACTTCGTCTTCGAACAGAACCTTATTTGCTTAGAAATACCTTTCTTTTCATTGAATGACTAACAGACCTTCCACATACGTGGTCCGTTCGTAGATGATGCGCCACAGAATTCTTACAGATTGCTTTCTGCAATATGCTGCCCCTAAAGCAATTTAATTTGAAAATTTTGTGGAAAATGTTAAAAAAGCAACAAAACATACCGTAATAAGCGTGCGAACGTCCAAATAAGCTCAATATCGCTTCTCCTTCATGAATATGTCTGGTCTTTACTATCATTGTGTTCGAATTCTCTTTCATTCCCTCAATCCAGTTTCCCCATTTTCCGGATGTTATTTTTGGATGGCCACTTATGAAATCTTTTAATAAAAGACGAAATAAAAATATTTGTTTTTCATATTAAGATCAACAAGTGTCATTAACAATGCAAAGTATAATATTAAATAGTACAGAATCATTTTTAAAAGAAGTTTTATCAAGTTATCAAATTGATCCATCCATAGCTGATCCTCCAGTAATAATTGAAAATCCTTTATATGGAAGTATTGTCCCGCGATTTTTAAATTTTGCTGCACCAGGAATGATGATATCAATAATATTCTTTTTGGCAATTGGTTTAACAGCATTAATATTTGTTGTTGAAAAAAAAGAAGGTCTTTTAGAACGCAGTTGGATCGCTGGTGTGACAACAATTGAAGTTATGCTCTCTCATATTATTGTTAAATTTTTTATTCAATTTATTCAAATAATGCTTTTACTTATTTTTGCTGATTTTATTTTTAAAGTTTGTTTGCATTTTCATATTTTTAATTAATTCATTTTTTAAAATCAAGGTTGAAATTAAAGGCTCGATTTTCTTAGCAATGGCGTTAATTTTTATGCAAGGAATTTGTGGTATGAGTTATGGTAAGAAAAGAATATTTTTAAGTTCAAAATAATTTATTTATCTTTTTTAAAGGTCTTCTAATATCTTCAGTATGTGAACAAGAAATTGAAGTTATGGAAGTTGCACTTGGAAGTGTTTTTCCTATATTACTTAGTTCAGGTTAACTTTTTTTAACATAATTCTTGTTTTTGTACCAATAAATAACTCTAAATTAAANTTGTTCACATCCTGAAGATATTAGAAGACCTTTAAAAAAGATAAATAAATTATTTTGAACTTAAAAATATTCTTTTCTTACCATAACTCTAAATTAAAGGTATAATATGGCCACTTGAAGGAATGCCGTCAGCAATGCGTTTTCTAAGTAATTTTACTCCATTAACACATTCCGTTGAGGCAATGCGATGTATTACTTCAAGAAGTATTGTATCTTTTTATTTGAATAAACAAATAAATTTATATAATATTTAGGTTGGTCATTTGGCTATTTCAAAGTATGGTTTGGTTTTGTCAATGCTGGTGCATGGTCTTTGGGATTTTTCGTCATAGCTGCTATTCTGTTTGCTCTTAGAAAATAAAAACTCGCGTTCAATCTTTGTTTTGTTTTATTGAAAATTAAATTGAAATCTTTTTTATGAAGTTTTCGAAAATGATTTTCACTTTCCCATAGTTAACTTTCTCATTTGAATGGGAAAATTAGTCTCGATGGCAAATGAAAACAGTGAACATACAAAGAATAAGCTTATAACTGTTACCAGTAAAGCGTAAGTCCGGTAGAGGATTTCTTACCGACTAGTGGACAACTTTTTCTGTACCGGACGCTATCAATATTTTTTCAGCTTCTGCATGATTTTTTTTCAAAGAATTGAGCATAAAAGTGTTGTTTTCGCAAAATGAAACACTTTTTAATGATGCCAAAGATTATTTCTATTTAGTCACAGTTCATCATAATATAACAAGTAACATTCATCGTGAAACGATTCATTTGATCCTACACTAACGAGATACAGATATGTAGATAGGCATATCTAGGTAGGAACGTGCTTTAAATAAAGGACTAGATAAATGTAAGAGATGACTTGACATATAGATTTATATCTATATCATTACGAATAAAACAAAGACAAAGAACAGAAAATATTTAATGGATGATCACAGAAAAAGTTAGTCATCTATTCGAGTATTCTCAGTTAAAACAGATTGATATAAGAGTGTGCTAAGCTTCTCATTGATTGATCTAAGTATTGAATTCGATTCTCTATCGAAAGAACTATTTTCGAAGTGGTCATTAGTTACAATTTCTAAAACTTCGAAAAGAAATAGTTAGATTCTAATCAAATAGTAGAAAAGTTAATATCTTTGTTTTTTTCCGTGAAATAAATCGAGTATTTCTGTTCAATGCAGCTGCGATGAAATAATAAAAAGAAGAGAAAGGTTTTTCTTGTTCTGTCATATATATATATTGGTTACTTTGATAGATGGATGGAAAATTAGTTCTAAATTGCTTTTCATTTGATACCAGCATTACGAAAAGTTCATTGAACCATTTGGTTATTTAGTCAATAATCTTGAAAAAGTTGTATTGTTAGGAAAAAAATTGGCATAAGAAAGAATAAATTATTGTTTAGGTTCTGAAAAAAGTATCTAATCAAATATTTTCAAATTTAGTCGATCAATGACGAGAAATTAATTGAGAAATCTTTGATCATAGTTTTATCTGCGTTAATTTGTCGACAATTGGATCAAATCTCCTTTGTCATGCTTCTTCAACAGGATAATTTCTCCATCGATCAGTGTGCATGATATCTGAATATCCATATCGTAAAAGTACTTGTATAATATTGAAATGTCTATTCGCTGCAGCGAAACACATGAGAGTGCGACCATGATAATCTGAATCAAGTTCTGTTGGAATGAAAGAAAATATTCGCAGGCAAATAGTCCGCCGATTCATTCAGTTGGATCTGATACAGTCAACGTTCCAAAAAGATAAACTTTTTTCATTTTTGTAAGAGACAAGCAGTAACATTGTTGTCAAATTGTGTCTGTGCTAAATGCAATATTTTTGAATGTATTTGATTACGTAATATGTTCATTGACAAAGTCACAGATGTGAAAATGTTCATTACGATAGACTTTATCTAAAGGGGATAAACCCTAATAATTTTCCCGATTCATTACTCGTTCAAAATCGAAATTTTGATATTGTTCAGACCAAAAATGAATAGTTTCAAGTCAATCGTCAGTAGCAGCAACATGTGCTGCAGAACAAAAGTTATAAGCCACAAATTCGAGTGTATTCAAATTATGAAATTCTTTAAGTAAATTAAACATTACTTTAATGTCTTCGCGAGCTGCAGTTATACAGAAGAGAGTGGATTACAAACTTTCATCCGTATTCGTCGAAAATTCTTCATCTTTCATTCATTGCTGGACATCGTTCTTGTTCTCCAAGTTTCTTTCTAATAATTAGCGATAGACAAATCGTGTAATTATAATGCATAATGTTTAGCTGTTTGGCAAAAATAACTGATTATTTCTGACTAGATAGAAAATTGTTCGACTAAATAACATACAATATCAAACTGATTGATAATAACAGTCAAATGTAAAGCGTTTTGACCATCAACATCGATCGTATTTGGTTTAAATCCACATAAAAGCAAAGACTAAATGGCTTCTGAATTATCTTCATTGAAAAATATATTAAGATACAATGTTAAGTCTCTTGATTTTGATGTTGGTAATCGAGCGCCATATGAATAAATAAATGATAATAAATGAAAATATCCATTCTAGAATGCATCCTCTAATGGTATATTACCAAATTTATCTACTAAGTTAACATTTACATTGATATCATCAACAATGTCATTTTGATATTGTCTTATAATGCATTTATATGTAATGATTTATGGGAATTTCAATCGGTTGAAGGAATATTGATATTTTGCTTAATTAATATGTTCACACTTTTAACATCATTTCGATAAACATATGAACACATTAACATTGAAATAAATATTTTGTTAATTTTTCAAAGTTCGCCACACCCACCCACTAGAGTTCGGCAGTTCCAAAAAAATGAAACCGAGAACAGAACCGAAACTGTTTTTCAGGATCGCTAGAGTCATTGTTATATAGCGTGCTTTGAACAAAATGGTTTTTCAATAAATATCTAGTTCTTATAATGGCAGGAATGAAATAATTCGAATTTTTCAAAAAAGTTTTCGTATGCTTTTGGTAATTTAACAGTTCCAATCGATTTCAGATAACTTTTGGGGAACCGAGCTGCACCCGCTTTTTTCTGATTTTTACTATCCGGAACCGCGGTTCCGAGTAATTTTCAAAACCGTCGAACTCTACCACCGACAAACCCACACTCTCAAATATTAACTATGTCTATCTGTTTTGTTTATTTTCCTATGGTTTTGTTCTCGTTTAATGTAATGGTAAGCTTTGTGTGAATATTTTCTTCAAATTTTACTTGAAAACAACCTTCATAAATTCGAGAAAATAAATGGGATGATAACATCACCTCGATTTTACTATCATGCGTATTAAAAGCAAAGCTCATTTTTATGTTGCACATATGTCAATATTTATAGAATCTTTTTCTCACTTGCTTCCAATCTAAATAGCCTTTACTTCATTTTTAAGTCACTAATTGACTGAACAATTTTCAAGTATTCTTCGATCATTTTTAAAACCAGGCATGAGCGAACACAAATCTAGTCAAAAATTGATCGATTTAATCTTCAAAAATCTGTATTGTGGTGTTCAGAACAAGAGATAAGAGTTGATACGTTGAATCAAAGGGTTTTTCCACTTGTCAATACCATATTCATAGGTGAGCAGACACGGAAACTAATATTAAGCTTTTATTTGGATGCAAAAAAACTACCTTTTTTCAAGATACAAGGAAAAGGCGTAGAAAAAGTTACCAATTATCTCAAAAAAATTCCCTAAAACAATTTGTTATTATGTGATTTACAAGTATTGCTTTAAAAATCAAGACGTGATCGATCAAGTGGTGATCAGCACAAGAGTATGCAGATTTAAGTTATTATAATCACATTACATATTATTCTGTAGATTATTACTAAAAGAAAGCTTTTCAATTTTAACAAAAAAACGGAAATACCAAGATATCCAGTATATAGCTAAACTTGTCAAAACTGTTTTGATCATTACACATGGTAATGCAGATACTGAAGAGAATGCAATATAATCAACACAATGCATCGCATCTAGTAGATGATGCAATTTTAATATTTTATTATAAAATCTTTATGTATTCGGAATAACTGAACATATTTTTTTTGTTTGCCAGGTATAACAATGGAAAACAGCATTCGTTTTTTTTTAATTTTGTCTCTTTTTCCGACTATGAGATCTATATTCTATCTTTATTTGCTGATATACGGATAAACATATTATAATTAAACTTGATGACCACATTCGAATTAACTACAGTAGTTATTTTGACAGAACCAAGTAAGATCAACATACTTACTGTGATGAGAAAAAGTTTCAGATGATGAAATTATTAAAATCGAAATATTTTAGTGGAACAAATGCGCAAAAAATTCTGTATTTTCAAAAACTTGTAGTAGAAAGCAAGCCCATGCTGTCAGCCAGATGAAAGAGAAAAGTTGGTTGAATTTTGGTAAAGCAAGGACTGTAATCGGATTGGTTTACAACATTCTATTTGGCATGGACAACAACATCTCGTGCTATATTGTCAGATCCTAGATGACTCACATGTTGTCAGTAGATTCTGCTTTAGTTATGCAGTGAATTTAATAGTTTCGAAAAAAATGAACCCTATGCGATATTTTAGGTGTTAAAAAATTAGAAGTTTAGCTTACAATTGAAAGAGACACTACTTGTTAAGAGCAAGTTTCTGTAAACCTATGTTTGAGTTGGAGATTAACAACATTTTGTTTGTAGTGTTCTTCAGCGTTTCTAACTAAAGTCGAAAACAACAAAATGTCGTCTCTAAACTTTGTTTGTAATAGTAAAATGTACGTGCATGCCTTCTTTTCGTAAGTAGACTATGAAAATGAACAATGACGATGTTTCATAAAGAATGTATTTAAAAAAAAGGAAAGATCAATAATTTTCTTTCATTAGAGAAAAGCACGTGTCTATGATGAAAAAGATGATTAGAGAATAATAAATTATTGTTCTTTTTTCCCCGACACAATCGAATAGATATTGAAGGATAAGAGAAAAAAATTATGTTTAAAAAAACTAAAGTAACTTAAATTCAATATTCTTCTGTTAAACAAATACATATAATCATCTTGGAAAAAAGTTTTATTTTATTCAACACAATGTACTGTGTACATTTTACTGTTCTGTCTAAAATGTAAAACAGTATACACATACCATTATTAACACTACTGCTCTCTAGAATTTCACTGAAGTGATTCTTGTCAAAATCAGAAGAATATTCCGATACCACTAGTGACCATATAATAATTATGTTTTGTTTTTTAGCTCTCGACTATATCGTGTAAAAATATTTTGCATTTATTCATTGTTTTAAGATTTCATATAGATGTCGCTGGTAGGAAGTGCATTTGCTAATAATCGCAAGAAAGAAGCGTGTTGTAATTCCTTTGACTATCTATCAGCGATTTATATATTCGGTTCACTAACAAAGAATGCTAAAGACAGATCATTTATTCAAGTTGAATGAAAAAAAATAATAAAAATGCCTGAAAATGATACAAGTTTAACTAACAGAAATGATAATGAAAGGTAATAATGAAATAAAAAAATAAAAAATATTTTTTTTTTATTAAATTTAGAAAATGTCGTTTTTGGACGATTCGATGCTATTTTTTATTGTTATGTTTAATTGTGTTATGTCAATCAATGATAACATCTGGTTATATAGGTTCAATCGTATCATCAATAGAAACTTATTATGGATTTTCCACTGAACGTTTAGGAATAGCATTTAGTAGTTATGATATAATTGGTGTTCTATCAATACCATTAATATCATATATTGGTTCGCAATATAATCGAGCGAAAATTGTTGCTTTAGGAGCTTTTCTATTTTCAATTGGAAATATTCTTTTTATTTTACCTTATTTAATCAATGGTTATCATAAAGAAATAGTTGATAATTCAACAAATGAAACATCGTATTATTTATGTTCAGAAAATTTAACAAATCATTCAGAAAATATTTATTTCTTATCATTTAATTCAATATTTAATTATTTAATACCAAATTCAATTAATAATAAAATATCAAATAATATAATTGAAAGTCAACCATCATGGACTTATTATATAATTATTTTATCAATGATTATAATGTCTATTGGTGCAAGTCCTTTTTATACATTAGGAATAACATTTTTAACTGATCATCTTAATAAAGATGATCAACCGATTTATACAAGTATGTTTATATAGAATTATTTTAAATCGTATTGTGCTTAATAATTAGATGAGAAAAGTAAAAGAAAGATTATGTAAGAAGATTTTTATTGAAAATATTAGGTATAATTGTTGTCTATTATCATAACTTACCACTAAGTTCTAACTTGTTTTTTATGAAAAGTATTTAAAAAAAAACATTTTTTTAATGATTCAATACATTGAAAATGTTCATTTCGTCTTGTATGATCATGGAAAAAAGTTTTGTCTTTGTTTTTCTTCTAACAACTTGCTAAGATTCATTAACGAATCAAAATATTAATTGTTTTGCTTAATTAATGTGTAACTATGGAATTCCTAATATATGATTCATTCATTTATAATCTTCTCAATCTGATTAAGCTCTTCTTCAAATGGAGTAGCATCAATATTTTCACATCTTAAAATTAAAATGAAATGTTTAACTTTGAAATACTTTTTTAAATCAGAAGATTTAAATAGATGATAAATATTCTTGTATATATGTGTGGTTTTTTTCGATTGTTCTCAGCAGAAAAGATCGAACAATGAGCTGAGAATAGCTCTATTAAAATTTAAAATCAATTTGTTGTACATACTCGTCAAGTTAATCTTGTTGATTTCATTAATCCTCAAGTAAAACAATATTGTCTTAATGTCAAATTTAAACTTTTATTCAACTATTATTGATTAATTGATTTTTTCTAAGATTTTTTACAATAATTTTTGATGTTATTGTATTTTTCTTTTAATAAAACATCTTTAGTAGATATTTGTATCATGTGGATTTAATATACGAAAATTCTTTTTGGATTATTCTTTTAAGCGTAATAAATTTGATCTACTTTGTTTTTTTCTGAAATCACAATAAAAGAAAAAACTAATGTATGAATAAAAAAAAAAGTTTAGTGTTATATGATACTTAAATGAAGGTTTGTTACTATTCTTCAAACTATTTTATGCATTCATCTGCCAAGGGTTTTTTTATTTCTATATGAATATTACATTAAATAATAACGAAATAATTAACTAAGGAAAGTCATTAAATGTCTTAAACTTTGAAAGTAAAACAGTGTCATTAAAAAAAAAAAATTCTAATCAAATTTTTGAGATTGAATAATCAATAATAAATAAATATCTTGTAGGTATATTGTATGGAGTGGGAGCATTAGGACCTGCTATTGGTTTTTTAATTGGTTCACTATTTGTATCTCAATGGATAAATATTGGTGCTGATAAAAATCTCGATGGAATAACAAAAAATGATCCTCAATGGATTGGACGTTGGTGGGCAGGATTTATTTTATCATCTTGTTTATTAATATTATTTTCATTTGTACTTTTTACATTTCCTTCTCATCTCCAACAAAATAAGAATCAGATAATTGAATCATATGAATCAGCTTGTGATCTTAATCAAGCTTCAAGAGAAAATTATCAAATCAGATCATTATGTCATTTGTCAAATATTAAAGGTTTATTTTCTTATATATTATATTTATTTGATCATTTTTTTAAATAGCAATATTCAATAGTATAATGGATCTTGTTAAGAATTTAACATATATTTTAATTGTTTTGATTAATTCAGTAGAAAATGTAAGTTTAAAATTAAAAAAAAATTAATTAATTAATAAAATAATAATTTGAATAGATTCTTGTTGTATCATTCACAACATTTATGGTTAAATATATTGAATCAGTATTTAATATCTCATCATCATTATCAAGTATATTAACTGGTTCAATTGTTGTTCCAGCAGCTGTATTTGGAACAATAACAGGAGGATATTTAATTCGTCGTTATCATATGAATATATTTCAATGTATTCAATTTATTCTAATATCTTGTTTTATATCTTTAATAGCTCTATTATCAATTATTTTTATTAAATGTAAATCAAATATTAAATATCAAAGTGATAGTCAATGTTCTCAATTTTGTAATTGTTCTCCTTATATTTATCAACCAGTTTGTTTTCAACAACAAATAACTTTTCTTTCGTCATGTTATGCGGGCTGTACATCTGTTAATGGAACAGTAAGATAATTTTGTTTTGAATTGTTAAATGAATATTTAATTTGTAAAAAGGAATATTCAAATTGTACATGTGTACCATTGGGAGATAAAGTTTTTGAAGGTTCATGCGAAAAATTTTGTTCATTAGAAACATTCTTATTTTTAATAATATTATTTCTTGTTACATATTTTGAAACATTAATGGCAACCCCACAATTAATCATTGTATTACGTTCAGTTCGACATGAACTTCAATCATTTAGTTTAGGTTTACAAAATTGTATTATGAAAATCATAGCTCAAATCCCAGCACCTATTTTATTTGGAATAATTATTGATAATCAATGTTTATTTTGGTCAGAATCAACATATCATCGGCGTGGTTCATGCTTTATTTATAATGGAAATAGACTTCCATTTACATTATTTGGTACAGCAATTATTATTAAATTAATTTCATTAACTCTTATTATTATTTTATTTTCAATTACATTAAAACGAAATAAAATACAAAATATTTCTTTCTCAACTGAAGAACAAGAAAATCTTTTAAATAAATAATTCTCATGTTTAATCATTCAAAATTTATCAAACATTTTTTCCATTATGAATCTCACCATTCGATTAATTTTTTTGTAAAGAAAACATTTATTTCAATTTGTAAACTGTTTAATAAAATGTTCATTATTCATTTTTTTCGCGTTTAATCAGTTTAAAGATGTATGAACAGAAAAGAAAATGATCATAATGAAAAGAATTATGTCTACAAATTATTAGAGAATATTCACATAAACATTAATTATTAAGAAAACAAAACAATTTTATTATAAATTTTTATTCTTTACTCAACTTTTTAAGGTTTTTTAGCAAAAAATATAATTTCATAGTTGTTCAAAGGAACAATTTGGTTATTCAAAGATAATCCTTAAATTAAATTCAGACTAATCTTTACAATTAAAGATTTGATTATATCTAAAGACAGATTTAATCTTTGCTATTAAAATTTTCGAATTCTGTTTTGTATTTCGACTTAATTATTAGATATAAATTTTAACACAATTTTAATAGAAAAATAAACTATGATCAGCTTTAGTTTTGATTATTTATCAGTATTGATCAGAATTTTTCGATCATATATTAAATATTTATCATCGAACATTAAAATTTGATTATTATAGTCTATGCTATTCTATTAATTGATTAAAATAACACAACTCGAATATAAACTTCTATATGCACCACCATCATTGTAGAATGGTAGAAAAGAGACGACCAGGCATGCAAATGAGAAACACATGCCAGCTTCGTATTAGAAATGTTTTAAATGTCAATTCACTGATGCGAAAAGAAAGAATTATTGCTTTTTCATTGTCGTTTCATCTTTTATTAAATACAAACATGATATCAGCCTAATCAGTGATAAATTCCAAGTGATTCTCTTGTATAGCAGTATGTTTTCATCTAATAGCAGATGATCTTGCCTCATCAAGTTCAATATTGAAACGAACAAGATCAAAGTGATTCGCATTATTCGCACAGTTGAAAGTTGGCTCAATGGACTAGATAATCAATTTTACGGTTATTCATGAAAATTCATCTCGTTAAAGAGATAGTACATGCAAAATTCAGTTCAAGTGCAAGTTGTTTTAAAAAGCTTAAACTTTCTTGTAACATTCATTATTCTATTGAAAGCCGCCATTCCATTCTTAACTAAATAAGTGTATAGTTATTGATGTTCTAGTATATGAAATTGCTGTCTACTGGATTTTTTCGTTTTTATAATATTCTTTCTCTTTGCCAAAAGCAAGAGAAATATTTAATGACAAATAACATAATACAACCGAAAACACAAAATAAGTAAAGAAACATATAGACGATAAGCGAAATTTCGATCACTTTGTATTTTCTCGACTATAACGTTTATCGTAATATAACAAGCGGTCGGAAAGCTTTGGGCAAATGTTTGTTCATCTTTGATTTGCTAGAAAGTAGTTCCGACAAGTCCAAAACTATGAGTTAGGATCAGAATTTTGTTCGGTTTTGAATGTGAACTTGAAAATGTAGTGCCTATTTTTATTTAGAAGTAGTGAAGAACTTCATGAAAGACCTGAGAATTTATTTTTAAAGGTGAGCCAACAAGTTTTATTTATTGTATAAGTCATTTTTAGAACGCGCTAAAACTAGTTGGAGTCGTTTTTTTCTATAGCAGACATTTCTTCACAAAATGTTATATTGAGTCAAGCTGTAGTTTTTATCCAAGTGAAGCCACAAGCATTTATTCAAGAGCTCCTCCTAGCGTAAACCAGTTGCTGAGTTTTCAAAAATGAGTATTTAAGAAAAACGAAAATGAAAGTGTCTTGCCGAAAGAGAAAACTTCAAATAGTGCATTCGGTAAGATATCTTCTAGTCTATAAACTGATATATAAAGATCTGAACTTTTAATTTTAAATCTTAATAGTGAAAGTACAAATATGTGCGGAAAAAATTTTCACTCAAGATATCTTTTTAGGCTACTTAAAGATTATTTCCCTACTCTCGAAAAAATGTTGGAACAAAATTTTCAAGTCGATTTTCGAAAAGAGTACAAAATTTTGGTCCCAAGTCATAGCATTCGGCTCGTTGAAACTACTTGCTAGTGAGTCAAAAGTGAGCAGATATTTTCTCTAAAAACTTTTCAGTCAGTCGTTTATAACACGCATACTTTGACGTTCATGGTTTCTATGAAATATCAAAATCTTCTTCAGTGTTTTACATTAGATTGTTTTTTGACCAATATACCAGCTTCGTCACCATGAATAGTAAGCGTATAATTATTAAAATGTCTAGTATACCAAATATACACGAAGCTTCTTGATTAATACATGCTGAAACATTGTAAATGTGTTCATCAATGGTTACTTGGATTTTGATTAAATGTGCCCTTTGTGCACTAGCACCTGTTTCAACATCGACATTAATTGCATGCACAAGAAATGGATTAATTTGTAGTGGTATGCGGTATATGGTAGATCCTGTATCAATTAAAAACTGCCAATGAACTTCATATTCTGTGGCATTTTGATCCCAAAATGTGAGAAGCAGCTCTACATGTCGATCAAAACGGATATCGTTTATGGTCCATTGTTCGTCTGTAAAGATTAAAAGAACGGCAGCTTTACACCAGAAAATTGACCATATTTTCTCCCTGCACGATCATCTATGTGTCGAAATCTCATCAGGACGTGACTGCATTTCTGCGTCAAGTTTTATAATGGTAGACAGCCCGCTTACATATCGTATTTTTACCGTAAACGATTGTATAAACACTATTTTTTGACTGGAGTGGAGAGTCATCAAGCCATCCCCATTTTCTAACAATGTAAATATTGAAAAAAATGTAAATCATCACAAACCTACAATATATTAGCCAGTTGAAATTCCTCTTCTGAATTTGTTGTATGACCGTGAGTCATTAACATCTTTAGTAACGGCTTTCCCATTTTGTATCAAAACGTAAACGTCTTTTGAAATACAAAACTCTTGGCCAATTACTGTTGGATATTTTTGACTTTTAACCACGAATATCTTGTTTTGTTGACACTTTGACAAATCTGAAATGATGAAAATCTAAAAGATTAGAACAAGCTCAATAAATAGAGAGAGTTTCTGGTTCAGAATAGACATGAATATCCACCAGTCATGCTACAACAAGTGAATACGTGCACCAATCAACGAAGTATCGTGAACTTCCCATATATTAAGTTCTTGATGTTTTACCCTTCTTCTTTTTATTTTATATCTAACTAAAAATCTACGCACACAATAGGGTTGCAAAATCTTAATTTTGAAATGGATTACACAAGAATTTGAATGGGGTACATTTGAGGTACTATTATTTTTATAATGGGGCACATTGTTGCGGTACATAACTTTCATTCTGAAATAGCAGGATTTGTTGGAAAAGCCATTAAAAGAAAAATTCTTTTACAGAAGACCGTATTCTGTTCGACTTTTTTTCTATTAAAAAAGAACTTTATTATTCATTTTTTTTTTACAAAAAGCACTTTCACAGTTAAATTATATCCTTAAAAAAACCTAAGTAAAGTTAGTACCGGATTCGGCTATTTCCAGCCTCGAATCGCTCCCTTACCTGTGTTGGGTCCCTAATAGGTTGTGTCAGGTGCAGAATTTTATTCTCTGTCGATTTTGTACCATGTTTGATACGGATCATTTGGCAAAAAAATTTACCTTGAGGATGCTTTGAGTGTAAATGTGCGTGAAAGTTTGGGTGAGGGTGAAGCTTTAGATGAGGTTGGGGGTGAGAGGTTGGATCGACAATCGATCTATCACGATTTTCTCTCTGCTTGCTTATGATCTGACGCACACCCATCACTTACTGAAAGCATCACACGCATTCTTCTTCCTCCTTCAACCAGGGTACACCCAAGGCAAACTTTTTACCCGCCAATCCCCCCGTCGAAAAATGGTACCATTAGATAAAGAATGAAATTCTACACCTAACACAGCCGATTAAGAATCGAACACAAATAAGGGAGCGACTCAAGACTGGAAATACACGAATTCAGGCTAACTTTACTTTGACGTAATGAAATGTTATTGCGCATCAATGCTATACTTTACACTTTTCTTTTAGTTTGTCTTTTTGCTAATTTTTTTATGACTAGATTGCTTAGCATGTCGATTGATCAGATAAATATCTCCATTCGAAATAGAAAAATTAGATTTACAAGTAGAACATGGTGCGAGATAAAAACTAGTTGGATATTCTCGGAGAAATACTGAATATTTAGGATCTTTCAATCATTTCTTGTTGAAAGTATAATGACTTTTCGACTTTAATGATTAGTTAACTTTTTTTTTGTTAGTTATTTATAGTTGATTTTTCTAGAGAACTAGAAGATCCTTTAACTGTTGTTATTATTTCTGCTTCTGATTATTCAGAAGTTTGTATTGTATTATTTTCGTCCAATTTCATGTAAACATGAGTATCCTTTTCCTTGAGTAGAATTTTAGATCTAAATTAATTTTTGACATATTAATATATACTAACCAAATGTGAGAGAAATATCAATAAAACAATAAGAAAAGGAAAAGGTTCATTAAACTTCATTTTCATTTTGGGAGTGAAAAGCTGTAAGGAGAACTGAATAACTCAAGACGAAATAAAATAAATATAATGGGTTCTAATATTCATCGGCCAAATCTTTGCCAATATATTTTATTATAGATGCCTATGTAAAAATATAAAAGAAATTATGTTCGAAAACATAATTTACTTTTATTAGAGAATATCAGGATACCGTAACAAAGATATAAAAAGTCAAATGGGTACGAAATGTGTACCCCAGGGGTATAGAATTTTCTGGGCTAGGAAACGTCGAAATCGGGTATTGCACCCCAAAATGGGGTACGTTTGACAGCCCAGCTTTTAAGAGAAAAAAGAATAACGTCATATCGATGGAAAAGAAAGAGGGAGAGAATAATCTCGATCTATATGAAATCAAGGATAGAAGAATAAATAGCATAAACTAGAGGACACTGTGAGGGCAGAGCCTGTAACATCATGTCACAAAGACCAGATCAATTTTAGCGATAAAGCGCGATAATGTCAGAACTGCCGGTTTAATTGATACTGCAGCTCATTATAAACTTCACCGGTTAGCCGCGGTTCACCAGTAATTTTTCCGATGAACTATAGAAAGTGAATGGTAGCAGAACGAAAAAAACATGTATATGTACATGTGCGCCTCGGTCGCATCACTTATTTCGTTTGCTTGCTTGTCTAGAGAATAGAATCAATATAACCGTAACGAAGTCCAGTCGACTATTAATATTGTTTTATATTGAAGTTCTGAATATTCATTTTTTTTAGATTAACTTTTTCCATTATTCATTTTTAAAAATTTTTATATTTATTTATTTTGCTTTATTTTTTAGATTATTCTTTTATATTTATATTCTAAGATTAATTTTCTGTTTAGTTTTTTATGCATGCTTTTTTTACATTGACTTGTATTTTTATCTTTAGTGGAAATAAAAATTAGCTTAATTGAAAAATAACTGTTAAATTTAGTTACAAATATTAACGAAACAATCAATCAAACGATGCTAGTTAAGTGCTCAGAAGCACCAGTTAACTGCGGTTTACCGCGATAATGGGAGCCGTTAAACTGGCAGTTTTTCTTCGGCTTTCATTACACGAGTTAAAATAAGTTTTATCGTTGATCTTCGTTGTTGGCTAAATTTGTTGATTTAGTAATGGTTCCTTTTACCAAAGCCGAAAATCTTAAAGAAGAACATAATTAAGAATGAAAAACAGAAGAGAGGAAATTGTTTATGTTAACAAATCAGTTTTTCAAAGAAAACATTACATTAACTTGAAATCTGTCTCTACAATTCAGAATATATTCAATCCAAACATAGGCTCAATCTTTGCTATTACACCGTTCGAATTCTGTTTCTCTTTTGGATTTAATAAATTGGTTTTAAGATTGAATTAAGCTCGATAGCAAAGCTAAATTCCAGCTTTAATTTTGATAATTTTTCTAATCATCTTAAGTAGTATTAATTATTGAGGCAATCATCCTATCCTTTCTCAATGTGCATAATCGTCAAGGAAGCATCACAAGATTTGACTTTGAGAATTTCTCAATATCGATCAGAATTATTCTACAGCATGTGACCTAGTAGCTTTTCGATCATGTATCAAATACTGTACATCCAATTTTAACATGCATTCTTGCAGTCTTATTCTACTCTATTAATTTATCCAAAATAAGAGAATTCAAGCATGAACTCTTCAGTTCTGATAACTATCTATTAGTGATTAATTGATTTTGATCGAACTTGATTATACAACAACGAAAAAACCATATTTATGTGCGAGCAACAATGGATAAGCATTTCTATTACTGCTTTCAAAGTTCTTTGTCATAGATGTTTCAAATAATTTGTTATGAAACACTTTCTTCTAATGTTTCAATCGATTTAAGTGTCTTGAAACAGACTACAAGTTTTGTAATTATTTTGCTGAAGTAGAATAAGTACTAAGTTCTCCGAGTTTTCCATCGATATTTTTGTTACCCTAAAGTTATTTTTCATTTACTATTGAGCTCTGTAGCAAATAGAACAACAGCTTTTACTAATTGTCTAAGCTGTAATACTATAAATAAGTCGGACTAGCCATAGATATAATTATTATCATGATTGTGCTATGCGGATACGATTTGATCAATTTGCAGGACTTACTGCACCTTCGAATGGACTGTATTTGAAAGAATTATTAGAAAAAGATTAAAAACAGTATGCTCAGAGAGTGTGCCAAGCAAATGAATTAATACCTCACAGCAAAAGGATTACTCATTTCTGACACACTGTTTTCTCTCGATGAAACCTGATCACTACTGTGTTTTAAAAGAGAATGTCGAATTTAGTTTTTAAATGAATTTTGCGCATTGTACATTGAATTAGATTATCAGTGCTGTGACATAGTAACGCTATATCTATAATATATTCCTTTCGTTCTATGGAATATTCACTTATGTCACTGTACGTACGTATATATTAAAAAGAAAAAAAAATTAAAATTTCAGTCAATCGTACAACTACTGGAGAAAATGCACGACCAATTACTAATTGTCTTCATGAATTTGATACAAATTCCAATGATTGAGAGAAATGGGAAGTTCTTTTCGATACATCTAATGAAGTTGCAAGTGACAATGATGATATGAAGAAATGAAACTACCTGATCATTACTCTTGATGTATAACCTTTCAAGGCACTGATGTCGATCTGTATAAACCAAAGAAACCAAGAGAATGTGATTACACGGAATTAGCTGCAAAGCTTAGATCAAATTACACATGTATTACATTAACAGCAACGAAATGCGTAAAATTTTTTCATAGACGCCAAGAATCATCACGAATTCTTACGGATTTTGCAAATGATCTTTGTGCCAAATCAACTACGTGTAAATTCTTGTCAAACTTCTACGAAGAAACTTCCATTACTGCTGTTGTTGATGATTTACTAGATAATTATGTTCGCAAGCATCTAAAATGCAAGAAAATTTAGAAATTTTCTAACAAATTATCAATTCAGCCAGGACTACTGAATCAATTTTTATTGAAAGTTCAAAAATTAAAAGTAGTTCATCGGAAGAACTTAATCCTGAAAAGATTAGTAAACGTCAAAGACATACAACGAATATCAATCAAAAGCCATCTCTTATTTAAGGTATCGGCCTACGTACCATCTTCGCCGTACAACCTACCAAAATTACAACAAAGAAGGTCACATTGCAAAAGTTTGTCATTCAAAATAAACTTCAAACAAGAGTAATGCTAATAATATATTTTCTTCAACACTTAAATAAGTTACATTTGAACAATCAATACAAATTCGTATGTTAACTGATCATAATGAGGTTAATTATCAACTGGATACCGGATCTGCTATTACACTTATCAATCAATAAATATGGGAAAAGCTGGGCAAATCGAAGCTCCAATCGATTCAAATGAATTTCAACAGCTTTACATACCGTCGTATACATGTTAAGGGGGCAAAAATAGCTAATGTCAAATACCATGATCGACTAAGGAGATTACGTCCTTTTGCTGCTAATTTATCTGACAGTAATATTCTTGGTGGTAATCGGACTAATGCACTTCATCTCAATAAATCAACACTACATGATGTCGTTTCTAACATTGCAGTTCTTCATGTTGACCCAGAAGTCAAAAATTCAAATCAAGGCCTGAACTATTATAAACATATCTTCAAGATTGAATTAGGTAGTTGCATGTTGAAGGATCTTCTTTATATTGGATCAAATACTATTCCAAAATTTCACAAACTCAGGTTCATTCTTTTTACTTATCGACGAGTTGTAGAAACAGATTTAAAGAACCTCATTAAAGAAGGTGCTATTATAGAACTAATCAATATTTCAAAATTGGCAGCACCTACTCTTGTAGTAACCAAACTTGGCGGTTAAGTACAAATAAGTGCTGACTTTAGTATGGGTGTTATACAAGCCCTTGATATCAATCAATATCCATTATAAAAATCCAACGATTTGTTTGTTACACTCAATGGAAGAACTCAATTCAAAAAATTGATTTCCAAAAGCATACCTACAAGTGGAACTAGATGATAATAGCAAGAATCTATTGATAATTAATACGTCTAAAGGACTTTTTTCGTCAACGTCGATTAACATTTGGACTTGCCTTCTTACCTAGTACATTCAAACAGATTATGGGCCAAACACTTGTCGGTCCTTATAGTAATGTTTACTATTTAGATGATATCATCGTTACCTGTAAGACTACGATTGAATATTTAGATAATTTATATAAGGCGCTTGCATGAATAAAAGAATATGAATTTCACATAAAAAAAACAACTGTTCGATTCTACAAGATCATGTAGAATGTTTTATTTTCATTGTGAACAAGCAAGATGTTCATGCATCTCCATCAAAAACGAAATCAATGTGCCAAAACCAACTAGTTTTCACAATTACGTTTATCTTTCGGAATAATCAATCATAATGCCAAATTTATTGTAAAATGGACCGACCAGCTACTTCATTGTTATTCATTATTAAAAAAAGAATGTTTCATGAATATTGACAGCAGCTTGTGATAAAGCATTTAAAAATATTAAACGAATTTTAACCGCTCCACTTGCATTGACACAGTATGATCGATCACTTCCAACAATTTTAGCAACTGATGCATCAAGTTCAGGTGTGGGAGCGGTAATTTATCATCGTTATCTGAATGGAATGAGAAAAGTTATTGTTCATGGATCCAAGATATTTACAAAACGGGGAGCCATCGTTCATAGATTGAAAAGGAAACTCTAGCTCTTGTATATGATTTACAAAAACTCAATCAATTTTGACGTGGTCGCAATTTTTCACTTCGTATTGATCATAAATCATTCATCAAAATTTTCGATTCGACGAAAGGTATTTCAACACTACTAGTCAGCCGTCTTCAACGCTGGGCTATTTGTCTTATACATTATACTTACCACATTAAGTATCGGTCGATGAAGAAATTTTGTCCAGCTGCTTGGACTTTCTCGCCTATCAGTTGGACCGGATACAAATTTTGACAAGCAAAACCATGACGAAGCTAGTCTTGTCGTTTTAATTCAACATATCAGAATTTCTGATGAACTTTCTACTTCACATGAACGCTTTATTTGGTATCTTCATATAATTAGCTCAATCTATTTTAGAAATCGTCTTTGAAGTCATCTTCCTTCAAAACATTCTGGGATGGGAAGAATACAAGTAGAAGCTCGTCGTTATTTCTGGTGGCCTTCACTTGAAGAAGATATTGACGATCTTGCTCAGCATTTTCAAACCTGTACTGGAATTGCAAAACAACTGTTCGAAGTTTTACTACAACAATGGAGCGTTCCTAATCAACAGTGACAAAGAATTCAAATTAGTTTTATGGGAAATTTTATAAATTATTAATTTTTCATCCTTCTTGATTCTCATTCAAAACGGTTGAGTGTTTTTATGATGAATAGCACATCAATTACAGAAACAATTAATACTTTAACAACACTTTTTGCATGTTATGGAGTATGTGAGGAAATTGTTTATGGTGATAGAACACAATTCATGTCAGAAGAACTTACTCTATTTTGTGCTTGTCATGGAATTCAACACATTTAGGCAGCATCTGGACATCTTTAGGCTAATAGAAAGCCGACTGTCACATGGACATTGTCAAAACTGTTTTACAAAAGAAAGTTTACAATGGTATATCAGTGTCTGACTCCTTTCATAATTTTTACATTATTACAGATCAACACATCATGCAACAAAGAATGCAACTTCAGCGGAGTTATTTTTGAGACGACAATTTAGAGCTGTATTAGATTTGTTAGGTCCAAACACAACTAATGCATCGACTATAATTTGAAGATGTGTCAAATTTAAGAAGTGGTGAAGATATTATCGTTACTGATTCAACAGAATCACAAAATGAACATGTAACACACCCGTCCGTCAACAATCAACATCATTTATGTCAGTCAGAGACTCAAATACTCCGACGCTCATTGCTATTCGTTCTATAGAATATTCACTTATGCCACTGCACATGCATTGGTATGCATATATATATATGTGTGTGTACGCTATTTTTATCCATTTTTCTTCTTTCATTTCACGATTATATTGTCTGTGTTATTTTCTTCATTTCTCACATGCTAATAAACTAAAAATTTGCCTTAAATCCTGATCTTTCTAAACTAACATCGACAAGTAGCACAATGACAATATAAAAACACGTAATATTTATCTGATATTATTATGATAAAACTAATGAAAACAGGTATTCAGTCGATGACAATTTTATATTATGATACTATATGCATCTAAAAATACCTTTATCTTATTATTTCGCTGTAAAAATATTAAAAGCAACATCTTATCTATGCTGTTATTACTCGACCTGATCTAAAAGAGTACTCTACAATGTTTGAAAGCTGAATAAAATACGTGTAAGTATGATATGAATACTAGAATAGTATTTGAACTACGGTATATCTTTTGTTTAAAAAGTCCCGCAATCAAAACCCCTACTCGATCACCAGCATTGACATTAATTATTTATTTATTTACAAATATGGATATAATTTACGGATTGATTCAGTCCATCACACTTTTTGAATGCATTATCAAATTAATTAATAGTTTTGTTCGAGACTAAGCACATGTTACTTTTTGTTTACTTTTCTTTTTTTTCTTTCAATGGCAAACATATTGTCTAATATTAGGTAGCGCCTTCATTTCACTCGATGATATTTTTCACAACAGTATTCAACTGATGAAAGGAATCAGAGTATACATTGATGAAAAACAGTATAGCTCATTGCATAGGTGATGATTGAAGATAGAAAAAATATTACATTTAGAAGAATGAATAATCATGAAGAAGATGATCAACTATGGTCTATACCTTCGAATAATAAATCTGTTTGGTATTTGTCTAGTATTACTCGTCATACTGAACAACAATTATCTCGTGGTCATTCTTTGCTCATTGTTTTTGAAACTGTTCGTATTGCATCCACTATTTGTTCAGTGTTAGGTATTTTAAGTAATATTGCTCTTATATGCGTCATTACCAACACTTCATTTCGTCATGTTAGCTATGGTTTACTCATAATAACCATTGCTTTTTTTGATATTATACGTCTAGTATCTGCAATTTTTTATTATCTATTATTTGCTAAAATTATTCCAATAAATTTAATAACTCAAACAATACATATTGCTATTGATCGATATCCTATATTTGTTGTTAATTGGTGTAAGGTTAGAAAATTTCATATGAATTAGATACAAGAATAAAAGTTTGTGTTCTATTAAGGTTCTTATGTCAATCGAACGTTTATTAACCGTTCGATATTGGGAAACTTGTACTCATTTAGATTGGCGTTCAAAACATAAACGTAAACAACGTCGTCGATTTATTTATTCAATAATATTTGTTCTTGTTGCTGGTCTTATCAGTCAACATCCAAATTTTCTTTTAGAACGTTATGAATCCGTTCACATTAATTATAAGCGTTTAATGTTAACTGTAAAACAAAATCCAAATTTTTTATATGCTTATTATAGATTTAATGAAAGTCTTTTTACTTTAATATCTTATTTAATACTTGATACGACAATGCCTATTTTATCTGCATTATTAATTAATATACTTCTTTTACGAGAAATTCAAAAGTTATCTTTATCACTTCAAGTGAAAGTTAAAGAGTCAATTGGAATTTTATTCTTTTTAACAGCTCTTTCAGTCGCAATGCTTCCAAGAGCATTTATTGCTTTTTATATTCATTACTTAGCAGATAATAATAATATTTTTTTTGAAAAATCAATCATGTTCTTTTACATTTGTTTGGGTAAGCTTTTTCTCTCTCTTTACTATTATATTGATGTTTGATTTGTTTTGTTTCGTGATCTATAGGATTTGAATTTTTTAATCATGCAATAACAGGTTATGCATGTTTTCTTTCATCGACGTTACTTCGTTGTGAACTGAAGAATATGATTTGCACGAGATATATTGCAACACATCTTCGCTATTGATGAACATTTGTAGGATTTTTTTATTTTATACTTATTGTTCATATTTATTCATTTCACTTTAAAAGAAGATTGCTACATCAGTATGACAAAATAAGAAATTATCGAAGGAAATTTCTGTGTCGACTCTAGGTAATAACAAAACCTTGCAATCATCAACTGATAATATCGATTTTATCTTGAAATAGAGGTTCTTATTTTCCCAATAGTCAACTCAAATATGACGAGGCGATTACCATTCGAAATAGACACTCAGATTTGATTGTGAGAGCGCACAACTAACTTAAAATTCAATATTATTTATCCTACATAAATTCATACGATGCAATGTTTCTATGCACACTGTTTCTCTCGTTTTCAAATCATTTGGTTCCAATTATAAATTAACTGAAAGCTTTTTACTGTTTCATTGATTTGTATTTGTGAATAAGACACTTTGTTGCAATGCATTGTGTTTGTGGATGTCAAAATTTGCCTATTTTAAGTGATATTTGATCGATTCTGGTCAGAATTATTAGATTTCTTAAGAAAGCAAATGATTTATATAGGAAATCAGCGGAAGGCAATAAATTAATCAATCTATGTCACAAAATGTTGCTTCAACTTTTATTTTGTCAAAAAGTTCAGCTGTATTTTCTCTCAAATTACGTCAACAATCAAATTCCATAAAAACATTCCTTTAATTCTATAAAGTCATTTGTCAATCTTTGAAAAGATGTGAAGATTCTAAATGATAGGTGAATTAATAATAAAAACGATGTTTTTACTGATTTTATTTGTCGATGTTAATTCTGAGGGAGATGACGATTCAAATTTTTGACGAAAATGAATATTTAATAAATATTTTCTTAAATATATCGATTGACTTATTGTTTTCCGCTGATTTCCTATATAAATCATTTGTTTTCTTAAGAAATTTAATAATTCTAACCAGCATTGATCAAATATCACTTAAAATGGGCAAATTTTGACATACACAAACATAATGCATTCCAACAAAGTGTCTTATCCACAAATACAAATCAATGAAACAGTAAAAAGCTTTCAGTTAATTTATAATTCAAATCAAATGATTTGCAAATGAGAAAAACAATTTTCATAGAAACATTGCATAGTATGAATTTATGAAGGTTGAATAATATTGAGTTTTAAGCTAGTCGTGCACTCTTACAACCAAATCTAAGTGTCTTATTCGAACGATAATCGACTCGCCATATCTGGGTTGACTATTGGGAATATAAGAAATTCTATTTTAAGATGAAGTCGATATCACAGTTAAAGACTGCTTCCCGCTTCATGTTTCGTTGTGCAACTGTATCATTGCTACGTGTTTGTCTTATAAAAAAATAAAATTTTATTTTGCTAAAAGAAGGAAAATTTCTACGAAAGATTTTGATGGAATTTAATAAAATAAGTTGGCTCAGTAAAAGTATGAAGATATATGAAATAATGTTTCAATAAATAATCATAGTAACTGCAAAGTATTACAGACATATTTTTTTTTGTATTTATGAAAAACTATTCAATGTTACTTATTGCTGTAAATATAGGCACGGTTCGACTTTTTCAAAATTTAAATTTGAATTCAAAATAAAAATTTGTCTAATGAAATTGAATCGAACAAGAATTTTTTTTAATTTTTATTCGAAACAACTATTCGGTAAATCTTTTTTCCGTATTATTGAAGATTTTTTCTAGATTATTTAATTGATTAAGAAAATTTAATTTGAATCAGTATATCGAATTGGATATATAATTAGTTTTTCAGGATTCTCACATGAAAGGCAAACAACATTGAAGCCAAAACGTTTTGGGTACCTTTTGAATCTTGTTAATTCTTTTAAATCTTCGAAACTGTCACAGACTTTAATATGAAAACTTTCTTAATTAGTTGTAACGAAAAGAATAAATCTGATAGAATACGGCTAGCAATATTTTCTGTATGAACATAGGAGATGACCTATTAATAAGAGAAAATATCGATAGTGTATTACACTTAATTGAATTGATCATAAGGTAAATATATATATTGTTTAGATAAAAGGATATCATTTGTTTGGTTACGTTTTATTTTTCTAGAAGTAAAAAGAGAAGAAAATATTGGAATACTTTATTTTCTGATTATAGCATGTTTTTTTTTGTTCACTATTCTTGCACTGGACGTTAATATACAACATATATTGAACAATTCAGAAATTGTTTGTTTAAGGAATTCCAAAAACATTCGGACGTTTGAAATATAGATCTTTAAAAACTTTGTAACTTAACACATGGAAGATAAATCGAAATAAAATGATTAGATTGTCGTATTCATGTTCAAGTTGTATGATTTCGTTAAAAAAATCTTTCTTTTCATCGTGACTTAATGTGATATGTTCAGAAATTAGCCGTGCATAGATAGACACTGGATGATATAATCGAAAGATTTTTGACGTCATTCTGATTTCATATAATATTATTTGAGGATTTCACATCTTATCATAGAAATCTGTAAATAAAATGCAAAAAAAAAACAATCAATGGTTGATCTTGTTTCATTGAATAAATACTTATTGATTCGACTAAATGAAATGAAATATTTGACCTTTGTCAACAATAGTAAGCATGAAAAAAAATTCATTTTTCAAAATTCGATCAAATAGAAAATCATTTTTATTTCTAATCGTCTTCTTAGTCAATTTGAATTCAATCTAATTCAATGTTAATAGAAAAAAAAACGAATGTTTATTTATTTTGTGATAGAAAAGAAAAGAAAAGAAAAGAAAAGAGTTTCTTAATAATATTAATATTAAATTGATATTAAAGATAATAAAAATTAAAAATAAGTATAAAATGGTGAAGATATTGATTGACTACTATTCGTTGTAAAACTATCAAAATCTTCTTGTTGATAATTTATATTAAAAATGTCATTAGATATTTGAGAAAATCTTTCAATATTATTTTCTGATTTATTTGATGAATGAATTGATCGTCGACTAATTAATTGAATTGGAGAATTAAAACGAACGTACCAAGTAAAACGATAATATTCTTGTATTGACCATAAACCATATAAAAATGAACATAGAATAATTGATAAACAAAATAATATAATTAATGTTAAAATCCATCCTATATTCGATTGATTAACTAATGAATGTGAATGTTGAATTGTTAATTTATCATTATATTTAATTGTTGATGATTCAATTAATAAATAATCTTCACTTATTTCAAATCCATTATTTATTGTTATAAAACTTGTTTGAGATAAATCATCACTAGTCAATTTAATTAAATCATTTTCTACTGTCGATGTATATTTATTTATATAGGAAAATGGTGTCACTATAAATAAATAAATATAGAAATAAATAAATATTAAAAAAAAAGTTACTTGTACGATGTTTTGGGCAAGCTCCTTTCCAATTAACATTTAAATTTGATAAACTAATTGAATCAATATTAGGATTCCGAAATAATATTCGGACATCAATTGATAACTAAATATTTTCAAATAAATTATTTATTTATTTATTTAAATATTTATTTACATTTTTTGTTTTTGATTTTAATGAATGTTCAACACGCAAACTTGAATTAGTTAATTGAATTTTTTGTGAAATATTTTCTTGTTCATCATCTTCTTCAATCCATATTTGTCCAACTAAAATAAAAATAAATATAATATATTTTTAATTAAAAAAAAAAAAACTTTTAACCTGGTTGACCTCGTGTCCAGAGAATAAATGATAAACAACCATCATTAGTATTTGATGATGAACCATTATATTTTAATTTAGCATAACATATACGATCAACACATTCACCTTCAGATTTTATTATATAAGTTGAACTATTCAATGATTCATCTTTACGTTTTTTAAGAGATAAATTTTATTTAAGAAAGAAAAAAAATATATTCTTTTTTACCATTTATTTTTCTCCAAAATATCGAAGAATCATAAAAATCTTGTTTATTTGTTTGATTATAATTAAACCATTGTTCGTTTCGATATAAAATATTATTTATAATTGTCGTAAATTCAAAATCATTCATAGATGATGATATATAATATGTTGATAACGATGTATCATCACTATTCATTGTTGATGTTCGAATATCAACTAAATTATTTAATATAATTGATGAACTTGTTTCATTTTCATTTAATTTATCAAATATATATTCAGTTGACGATTCTATTAACATTGTTTTATCATCACCAGTATTTGATTCATTTAGAGTTTGTTTTGTTAAAATAAAAGAAATCATTGTTGATGTTATATCATTGTTCGATTGAGCATCGATATATTCAGCTGAAGAAAAAAAAAACAATAAATAACTAATGGTATATCAACTAAGAAAACAAAACATGGCACCTTCACTTAGAAATGAAATAGATAAGATCGTTATGATGATGATCTTCATTGTTCTCTTTCTACTATGAAATTTGTTCAACATTGATTCATTTATTTGACTTTTAAACATGTTCGATTTATTTAAGCAACTGTTCAAATCAATCACTTGTTTCTAAGACAAATAATAACCTTGGATAAAACACAAACATTTGTTATACAATATAAAAAAAAAAACGAATAAAATGAATCAAATAAAGTGAATAGTCTTGTTGTTTTTATAAATTGTCATGGAGTCCATTCAAGTAGAGCAACACCTTGTCCATCAAGAAATGAATTTGTTAAAATTCTAACCCAATCTACAAACCACCAAATTCCAATTCCACCTAAAGTTAACATTTTAAAAACTCCTGCTGCAATATAACCACCATTTCCAACACTTAAATAAAACCAATCAGCACCAAAACCACCAACAAAAAATGATAGAAGAAATGCTGCTAGTTTTGATTTTTGTTGATAAGTACAAATTTGAGGTTGACTTTGAGATAATGTCCAACCACGTTCACATAAACATGACGATATATTTTGATATTCATAACATATTCCATGAATACAATATATATTTGATGAACAAGAATTTAAAACTTTTGATGACAGATTTTGTTCACCTTTTATCATTAATATTAATATTGATAGATAGATTAACACAATCATTACGAAATTTTATTAAAAATTTATCTGGTTTTTTTTCTTCTCTTCTTCGTCGAATCTATTTTACAAATGATAATCATTTATCATTTTAGTTGTTATTTATTTATTGACTATCCTTCGTAAATTTTCACCTACATTAACAAACATTAGTTTATTGCAAATATCATTATGAAATCATTTTACATTATATTTACTTTTATATATGTGTGTATAGATCACTCTAGTCTAAGACATACAGAAAGAACAAAAAAAAACCATATTGTTATGCATTGAGTTCATTATTGAATTCAATGAATTTATAATCAATAACATAAATTTATTTAAATTATTCGACATTTCATTTATTTGAGTTCAAATAGAAAAAGAAATAAAGAAAAATTCAATATGCAATATTTATTTTTAAGAATAATTTACAAAAAGTTGTTTCTAATCATTGTTAATTATCATCTGTTCGATGATATTATTTCGGACTAAAAAAAACAATAAACGAGATTTAACATTTTTCATTTAGATTTTTAAAATTTTAAAGTTAAAATATCAATTGAATGGCAAGTAGTTATTTATATTTCTAAATTCTAAATAAAAATCTTCTTTAATATAAATAAAATCAAATAAATTGAAAGACATGTCTATTCGAGTTTATCATCGAATGGTGAAACAACATGTTTAAATCGAATCACTCTATTAGCAACTATTTGTTTTTTTTTTTTATAAACTAGTCAATTTACGTCCGTTTATTGATTACATCATTATAAATATTTAAATAAAGGTAACATCAATCCAAACTCGGCATGATCATTAGAATAATATTCACATTTATTTTTTCAATATAATTATTATAAACAGATCGATTCGTCCGTTTTAGATAATTACAAAATAATATGAAGAAACTGATCAATTTCAATATTTGTATCCATCATTTGTTTTATCTCGTTCTTTTATTTTTATAAATAAATTTAATTCTATTGAAGAAAAATCCAAGAGAATTTTGTCTTTCTCTTATTCACATTTAATTCAATTATATAAACGAATTAATTAGAAAATCATTTATGATTATACTAACAGAATAACTATGGTCTAATTATATTTCGATCTAATATGACAAACATAAATAATTAACAATATTATCAATTGAAACCATACCAATTTATTGGTCAAAATAAAATTTCCCAAAAAATTCTTTGACATACTTCGAATTGATTTTGTTTTATTTTTACAACTATATTTGATATGAATTAATTATTCTTTACGTTTTTAGATAATAACAATCATATAATGTCATTGAATATCAATTCTATAAAAGTTCTCATTTGCTCCTAAACCATTATTTTTACTGTTCATCTTCAATAATATATTATCTTTGTTTTGTCATCTATTAATAAACGAAAAATGTTCTAAAAACAAAATAAAATATGTTTAGTTAATTTTGTTTATTAATTTATTCTATATATGGTACAAGTTTTATTTAAAAAGTTAATGAAGTAAATTGATTTTTCAGATTGAAATCAATTCTATTATCTTTCATAGGTCAACGACATATTGGTATAAATCAAATTGAAAAATAACCTATAGATCACATTAAACTATTTGATTGTTTAAGAAAACATATTTCTAGAAATCATTTTTATAAAAAACTACGACTCATCAGTCTCTATCTTTCCTCTACAGATTAACATTTAAAACAAATCTTCAACCAAATCAATATAAGAGTTCGGTTGAATCCGGAGTAAAATTATTTTTCTTCAACATATATCATCGTTTTTTAAATTTTGTTTAATAACTATACAAAATTTTCATTATTTCTTAAGAATATCGACATAAAATCTATTCGATAATTTTATTTATAAATCACAAATCATTCTCTTGATTTGAATCTTTCGCGTTTTTTTCTTGTTTCTTTCGTTATTGATCAGTAAGAAAATGTCGATTAACATATATACAGTGAGTACCAGAATTGACCAACAAGCAGAATGAACTTTTTTGGTGAGTTCATATTTCAACAACTGTATGAGTTGTAATGATCTAGTTTCATCCATACTGTAGCCCATATCACCTAGTATATACACAGAAAATTTCAAGTCAAACTGTCCTTCTGTTCTACACTTATTGAACAAACAATCAAAGGGTGTAGTTTTTGACTGTTCCAAAATTGATCAACAACTTATCTTTTTGATTATCTACGAAATTATTTTAACTTAGAATTTTCTTTATAGCAGATCATTAGAAAGAGTAAATTCTTCTCTAGACACTAGAATAATTTTTGTTGTGTTATCTCTTTTAAAACTAGTCGATTAGGGGTAGTTTCTGAGACACACCGATGATATACTGAAAAAACTTGATAAACTGACATATTTTATTTTAGTTTTCAACTGATTTTTGATTTCCAAGGTACCATTAGAAAGAGCATACAAAACTGTACCAGAATTAATGTTTTACAAATTATTTTTATCGTAGAAGGTTAAGGTAGTAACTTCTTGCAGACATGTAAACTATACTAATGTTGTACAGAATTTATTCTATTCTCTCCTTTTCATAGGTAGCGTGACGTAAAAACTGTTTGAAAATAATGCAGATTTGTAGAGAATTCTTTTCTCTACAAGTTGGTTGTGTTTTAAATCAAAAACATGTTTTCTGTCATGCGCATGACGCCAACATTTATGTGACAAGCTCCGAAACGAAACTTAGGGAATGTCAGTAGGAACAGACTAGACTCGGATTTCCAAAAAATCAATCCTCGAAACTCTTCTCATGATGCCTAATTCGAAATAGCATGAAAATCTATGCAGAAAAGCATATAGCTTCAATAAATGAGCTCTCTCTTGCAAAATATTTCGCTCCAGTAAGTTACTGAGGTGGTCCCCNCATTCTCATTTCTCTCCCTTTTTTCTTGCACCAAATTTTTGTATTAACTTTTTCGCACAAGTAACACGCCGTTGTTTGTTGGATGCTGTTAACTTTTGTACTTTTTTCAGTTTGAATGGTTTCAGTTTTAATTCTTCAATTGCTCTTCGAACGAATGTTTTTTTACCTTGAATATTTTTATGTTGTAAATCAAAAAAACCATCTTTCGTTGACTTTGACCTTTTTTTAAATGTATTAATCGTTTTACTGTTTTCTTTTGAACTGTTCTGTCCGAACAGTTCTTGGTGCACCTCATCGTGATCTATCTTTTATTGTTCCCCGTTGTAATATTCGATTTATTTTTCTTCTTAATGCATCACGAGGTAACGAAGGTGGATTCTCATAAGATTATATTTCGTCAGCGATGTTGGATGTAATCCATGTGGGTTTCATTTCCTTCAAAGAAAGAACGAGTCCACGAAACTGCTCCTCCAGAGTAGACGTGTTTGACATCTTGTTATACGATGTAAGAAATTTATAGACTATTGTATACTTCTTTTACACTGAAACCAGTCTATTTTTAGGCTGGAGTGGCTAGTAAATACATAAACACAAAAGAGACAGATATCATGAAAACAAAGAGAGAATGATTAAAAAGGCCTGCAAAAGATAGTACGAATATAGAGATACAGAATACGCAAAGCGAATATACACAGATCGAAAGATATATTGAATACCTGGATAAAAAATGCACTAAGATCTAGGAAGAGATCCCAAATACAGTAATACGATGAGCTAACAAGATGAAGATCATCACACATCTTAAATTAGTTATATTATGACTTCAAAGTGATTATGCAGGTGAGCTGAAAGTTCGCGGTTAATTTTTATTTTTTGTGAAGCATATTTCGAAGCTTATAACTTTCTTACTGTTTGCGTGAGAGGAGGTCAATCATAGACCATTTGTAGAGCGTATTTTACTGCATCCTTCTATCATAGAGACAAATTTTCAAATGTGCGTTTTAACATAGAAAAATGTATTACACAAACCGAGTCAGGGCTTCTGGCCCACCTTTTATCCTTTTGTTTCGCTAGCTTCCTATTGATATGCAATATAAAGATGTTCTAATGAAAAGTATTGTCTTTCTTCAATGTATAGAATCTTACTCGATCGAAGAAATAAAAAAGTTAATTAATCATTTTTATAAAAAATGATCATGCTCGTATAAACCTTGGTCTATTTTGGAAACAAAGAGTATATAAATAAAATAAGATTTTTATTGTCGTTTATAGAACTCATCATATGGCATCATATCCCAGGCGAGCAAAAAAAAGGGTAGGACGGGCAACATGTCTAGTCTGAAGCGTCACTACTACTCGTCATGTCTAGTTCAAAATATTTTGTTTGAGAGTCAAGTCTAGTCTGTTTCGCATGAAACATCATACTTTATATCTGAACTAGTCGGAAATTTCTGGAAACCACGTCCAGACTAGTCTAATGCGTCTTGAGCAGTAGTTACGTCTAATATACTGTACACAAAATGACATGCTTTAGCGTTTGGACTAGTCTAAAATTTACAGAAGTCACTCGATGTGAAGTGGAGAACGTCTTCTTCAGCAGTCAAGTCTAGTCTATTCATATTTTCCAGACTCGTCAATCAAACAAAAAAGTTAAAAGGATAGATGAAGATAGGTGGATTCGAACGTTCAGTCAGACAATATTGAGGACCTGACTAATCTGGACTATTTTCAATAGTGACACGGACTACTGTGAAGCGTCATTTGTCTTGCTCATGACTAGTCCATTTTTGAGAAGGTAGTACTAATCCTCATCCAGACAATAGTCTAAACTCTTTAAAAAGTCCAGTTTGCTTTGGCCTTAATCTGCACACAACTTCTTTGACTGGTTCGTATCGAAACCAGAAAGATATTGTGAAACACAAAAAAAGCAGATAAAATTACAAAGAAGCTGTTTACGTCTTCACTGAAGGTGCCTATTTATATCTTATAAAATTTCTGAATTGCCGAAGGAATTAAGAATAATTTTATTCGAAAAATAATTTTTATATTTTTATATGAGAATTACATTTTATTTTTAGTATCAATTCTGAGAATTTGAATTTAAAGATAGATTTAAATTAAATAATTTTAGTTTATTTAAAAATTGAAATCAAAAAAAGTTGAACTAAAATAAATATAAATCATGATAAGAAAAAATATTTTTTTAATTTATATTGTTTGAAATTTTTTTCTCGATTTTAATTGTTTTTACAATTCAAAGTCATTTTCCTGAAATATCGAAGATCAAAAAAAATATTTTAAGTGCTGAATTAATTTTATTCAGGCTTATTTAAATAATTTTGGATTTCATGATAAAGTTTTTTAATTTATACCACAACTTGAAAAACTCTGAGTAAAACTGTGTAAAATAGCATTTCAGAATGTGTATTGACACAAAGAAGTTGATTGCTCGATGATATAGTTCAATCGATCAAATGATGGGTAAGTTACATATTGCATGCATGTTCGAATCGAACATTCTGCTTATATTTCCAAAAACTAGACTAGTCCGGACTACACCACAACATAAGACTATAATCTGTTACATGCAGCGTCATAGACACCTTTCTTTTTCGATTTAAAATCTATTTTTGATGGGCATCCGGAATGCACAGAAAGTCTAGTCTTTTTACCCGTCCTTTGCTCACCTGGAATGGTAGGTTTCATCTTTGAATACAACGTGTTCATTAATAAACTATGAAAGTTACATCATTTAGATGAAAAATATTAATTTTGAGATACTGTACATCTTATTAGGACTTGTACACATCATAATAAAATAAAATCATCATACAAAAAGTTTGTGCATTGACGCAGATTGGTGAATCAAAGATGTTTCATATTGAAGGTTTATGGTGCACGATCTTGATAATATAGGACCGATATCTTGTGACAATCGATCGATGTCGAAAATACTTACTTAATTAGTGTTTATTCAATGTTGGAATAAGCATGCTGAAGTTCTTTTAGTCGATTTACTTCTATGACAATTCCAGGCTTTGAATTCTGTATTAAAAAATCTTTTAAAAATTATTGATTTCATAGAATTCGTAGTAAATTCATTGCTGAAGATTTTATCTGATTATCCTTTAGTTGATATCATTGTGCCTAAATTCTTGTCTTCAAAATCGAGGATAATAATTGAAAGTAGATTGGATTAGACTTGCTGATTTTCATTCATTGTCAAAGTTTATTGGAATCAAGATAATATAACAAAACTTTTCGAATGTGGTGAGGAAACTTGGAATATTTTCTGAGCAACACTTGCAGAAGTTCATCGACAAGATAATAAGCCGTCAGATGTTTTTATCTTGACCTATCACACAATTAGTACGAGTAACAAGTCCTTAAAATTGATTTTATGATTACTTGAAATTCAATTAAAAGCATCCAATAAAAGTTTTCGCGATACGTAAAAGACTCTAGCATTGATTCACAGAATTGAACCATCGATTGTTCATGTCTCCTTCAAGTATTCGGAAGGAAAAAACGAAACGAAATGAAATCAATGCAAATAGAATATGAGAGAGTACTCGTAACATCTGGTTTTCTTAGCAGGTTGGAGTCGTATACTGCTTTGTAAACTATATGTAATTCTGTTGAAGACAAACTTCCATTAGGAGCCTTCAAGTCTTGGTGCAAAAGTCAATTACATAATTCATTTGTGTTCTCCTATCGATGATACCTGATCTTTCGGATGTTGTACTTTCAGTTTTTCATCGATGAATCCTTTTTATTTCTGTTTTTGTAGCAAAATCTTTTTTCTTGATTATCACTGTAAGGTTCCGTGTTGTCTTTAATTTAAATAATATAAGGAAAACGTAAGCCTTTCACAAAAAAAGCAAGAAAAAAGAGAAAAAACAAAATAACAACAAAACCATAAAATAAGACGATCGACCTTAAGTCATCAAATATAGATAAATCACTACCCTCAATAGCAAAAATACAACAACTAACTATGTATTTAGACGAGAGACAGAAGAGAAAGAAGAAGATTATGTATCGCTATAAAATGTATAGATGACAGATACTGAAAATCACGATAAAATGATATTACAAAAAAATGCAGCGAAAAAAAATTCATGTATGCGTGAGCAGCGTCTATTTTTATGATTCAATATCGACTTCGTTTTACTGTAACTATGAATCGTTTGTCATTTTTTTCAATATTGATACGTCCAAACAGTTTCATTCATATTCTCAACACCTAATGCATTCAATCTTTTAAACATTGAGATAGCATCATAAAACTGTGCTGCCTCTTCCGTATTGCCAGACCAAAATGGTAAATGATGAAGATATCGGCCAAATGCTGCTTGAGAGAAGCGAAAATACATTTTTGTATTTAATATATGTGCATGCCACGCTTTATCAACCATTTCTGATGGTGAACCATTTAAGTTATTTTTCAGTCCTGTATAATAATTTTCTAATTCAAGAATGGAGTTTAATGCATCTTCACGACTCATATGTTCGTGTAATTGCAATCGTTCATTTAAATAAAGGAGATCTTCATCTGGTATCGTGACAATATCAAAACATAATGCAGGAAATTCAAGTAAATGAATGAACAACAAAGCACAAATACCTATAAGAAAAGAAACAAAGTTGACAAAATACTACAATTGAAAAAGTAAACTCACAGATTCGTCTCATATTAGCTGTATGATAGTTAAGTAGTAATAATAAGAATCTAAAAGTATACATATAAAAATATATATGATTATTGTTTTATTATACACTTATAGCATCCAGATGAGTATTGATCACAGCTAAGGTCACGCTTAGCAAGCTCGATTAGTAATATAAACATTCATTCCTTATATTTACCTTTATTTCATTTATGCAATGGGCTTTTAGTTACTCATCAATATGCAATTCTTTTCTTCTAACCTTTAAGCTGCTTCTTCTGAGCTAAAGAAGACTATTCAAAAATAATCAGCCAAGTGGAAAAAGACTATGATTCAAGAGAATATTAATGCGTCTTTTTACATATGACGCTTTTATCCCTTTTTTTTTTATTATACCTTTTCTGATTGTACAAAATTGTGTGAATAATTTTGTGAATGGCGCAGTAGCCGAAATTAGTAATGCTATTTTTTCAATGCATATTTCACACTATAAAAGTTGTGTATTATTGAGTTTGTATGATAGAGAAGAAAGTTTAAGGTTTATTATGCTCATAAGTAACCTTAAAAGTTCTTCTATTTGATAAAGGTTTGTGTATAATATAATTTTCTTTAGAGTGAACATGTCTTAATCAGAAAAAGTCAATATTTTAACCTCTGTAAAATGAAAGCCTTGCCGGGCTGTCATTTTGGCGACATTTTCATTCTATGCTATTGCAAATAAAATACCTTATACTGATTCTTCAGTGTTTTTAATGAATGTGCAAAGTCTTTACTGTTATCTGCACATTCTTCTATGAAAGCATACATATATTTTTGACTTAGTGTACATGAAGATGGTGTATATTCCATCAAAACTCCTCATCCTCATCAGTTCTACATGTTTTAACATTTTCTAAACATCTGCTAGTACTCTCTTGTTTTTTCGTCGAATATGTTTTCTCTATTAGACTCCAACGAATAAGTAGTAAGATGAACTTATTTTAATCTTTTCTGTCATATAACTATATTATTCAGAAAAAGCGAAAATTGTCATCGGACTTAGATGCCTTTCTTCAATAAACTTTTGTCAACGCTTTACACTTATAGGAAAAATCGCTAAAATGTCAGAGAAAAATGCGACTTTTCATTTTCCATTAATGAATTATCTTTCTTGTAGTTTCAATTATGAGAAAAGCATAGATTATTCGCACGCATTAGATAGTTATGCTCTCTTCCCTCAACTGGCCAGCTGTTACTATCTGAATGTAAGTTGCCTCAGGACTTGTCTCAAATCACGACAAAAACATATTTAGAACAGATACTATTAATATTTCATTGCGCTGTATAGAATTTCACTCAAACAATAGCGAAATGGAAAGGAAGTTGATGCCAAAAGTATGTTTTTTTTGTCTAATAAATACATAAATCACAGTCACTCCCATTTTTTATCCATACACTTCCAATTATGAGTCTCGCTATTCACATGCTTTTACACAGAATAGATTTTCTTCCTTCCTCACAAGATAATGATAATCATACATTTATGTTTTTCAGAAAGCTACTGCCATTTCATTAGTAACAAACAAAATGAATAAATTATTATTGATTCTTCTTGTATGCATAGCTTGCTTTGCAACTGCTTCGTGTACCGAGCTCGTCGGTTCCAACGTTCACTCTATGATGCCAAGACGTGAAGCCGTCCGACAGCTGCTGCAAAGCTCAATCAGCGATCTTAAAGCTCTTTGCTGTTCACCATTCACATGATCATTACTCAAAAGCCCAAAAATGTTCTATCTCTCCTAAGTGTTGAAGTGCAATGAAATAAGTGGATGTAATTCTGGTATGCCCTATTCCAAAACTTTATCATGGACAGTCTACCTTTGGAAACTTAATCTCATTATCGTCAAACACAACGCTAACATAGAAGAATAGCCTCATCATTGTATGGACTGTTCTTTATTTTGATAATCATCTTTTAGCAGCAGCCCACATAGTTTCACTATGAATAAAGACGTGTTGCCATGAAATACACGAAGCGTTCCCTGGTGTGAGCTATTCCTTATCTTCATAATCATTAATCAACAGCTGGGAATTCTGTTTTATTCTCAATAGTCATATGTTATGGTGAAATAGATGAATAGCTGTCTGGTAAGAGCTATTCCTTATTTTCATAATTATTGTTCAGCACTTACAGACTTTGTCTTATTCTCAGCGAAGACGTACTACAGTGAAATAGATGAATGGGCTTTTTGTATTGACTATTTCTTATCTTAATAATTAGGCTTTACGATTTGGGAATATTGTTTCATTTTGAACAAAGACACTTTATTGTGAAATAGATGAATAGTTCCATCGTATTAGCTATTCCTCATTTTTGTAATCGTTATTCACTAGTTGCGGACTTTGTCTTCTTCTCAATATAGATATGTTATGCTAAGATAGATGAATAGATCTCTAGTATGAGCTATTCCTTATTTTCATAATCATTGTTCAGCACTTGCAGACTGTGTCTTATTCTCAGTGAAGACGTACTACAGTGAAATAGATGAATGGGCTTTTTGTATTGACTATTTCTTATCTTAATAATCAGGCTTTACGATTTGGGAAGATTGTTTCATTATGAACAAAGGGACTTTATTGTGAAATAGATGAATAGTTCCATCGTAGTTGTAGGGACTATTTCTTATCTTAATAATCAGGCTTNTGTTGGATGTCATCATTATCATTATTTGTTATATTAACAATTAATTCTGTATATTTATATGATCCATCAAAAAGTATTGGAAGTGTTCCAGTTAAAGTTGATTCAATAAAACCATTAGATCGAACACATGTATTAGCATCACTTTCACCATTTGATAGAGATTTATATATAAATTATCATAAAGGTATTCATATAGATCATTATCGTGTATCACCAACATCAGAATGGACATTAGAAAAACGATTTTCAAAAAATGAATGTTCAGAAACAAAAGATATTGGAATTCGTGATGTTCGATGTGATAATGATCATATTTGTTTATCAATAATGCAACAAGATGATTTAAAATGGAGATTAGATTTAATGTCACGTGATATGGTTAGAGTAAGACGTGGTGTTCCAATGGATCATGGAGAAAATCAACATAAGTTTTTTTCAATGCTTATTCCACTTCAAGATCAACGATGGTTATTTGTTAATTGGTTTACTAATCAACTTTGGATTGTTGATCAACAAGGAAAAACAAGATTAGTTAAAGAAACGAAAATTAAAAATATTCGAAATATTTCAATATCAACTGATACTTCTTATATGGCTATTAGAACCGAAAAACCATCGGCTCTTAAAATATATAAACTTGATTAACTTTTCCTTTTTTTTCTGTATATCTTATCTCAATTAAATAAATCATTTAGAAATAATCAACATTAACAATAAATTAGATTTTGTTTCATCCAATTAAAATTATTTTCAATTTACATTGTGCAAAAATAATATTTCCTTTTTTTTCGAATATTTAAATAAGATATTTTATTTTCATATTTAACTATAGTTTAATTCTTTTTTACATTTAGACAATTTTTTTATTTTTGACTGGTGGAGAAAAAAAAAATCTTTGAGTTATATGTTGAAGTTGAGAAACGAATCGATAAACTAAAAAAAAATATAAAGCAATAAAATCGAAGATAGATGTAATAATGTCAATAGTTAAAGTTTTCTGAAACAAATTCATATTTAATAAATCTTAAACGATAGATTTATCATTAGATTTATGCTTATTAATAACAACATCGTTAAACTATCAACGAAACATTTTATTTATATTCGATATATAATCATTTATATTAAATTATTTATTTATAAAATTTGTTTTATTTTGATCAACAAGATTTGTTTTTTTCGTAAACTATTCATGCTCAAGAGAAAATAATATGTCAAGTAACTTTATTGAGAAAAATAATAAAATTGATCGATATTGACAGATTTTCAATGATGATTTATAAATGTTGATAGAAACGAATATATTATATAATGATGAGCATATTATTGAATATTTATCTAAATGTTATTTTTATTAAGATTAAACTTAAACAAGTTGAACTCTTAACTAGATAAAATCTGTGTTATCTTTCATTAGATCTTATTTAACTAATATACATTTTATAATGATTTCATTTTTATTTAAATATTTATTCTAAAGAAAAACTTTTCTTTTTAATGAAAGTAGACAACCTAAAGCAAATATAGATTTGATTGGAAAAAAGTTTTAATTGAATAGGAAAATAGTTTATGCATGAACTTTCGATTGTTTCTCTTGGTAAACAGAATAAATTAGATTTAGCCGTAGACTACATTGAGATATCTCAATTAAATTAATAAAAAACCAAATAGGATAAATTGGTCTAGCTTTATCGAATTAACTCTTTTTATTTGATTATATTCAAAGATTTTTTTTCCTTATCAGACTTGAGACAAATACAAATTTATTTCGATATTTATTTAATAAATATCCAATTGAGATTTATACTTTTTATATCAAAATAAAAATTTTTATTCAAAAGAATTAAAATTGAGATATATTATAAGTAAATTATTAAAATATATTCAATACTATAGTTAATGATTATTTATTTGTATGATTAAATAAAAATAAATATAATTATATTTTAAATAATAAAATGATTTATATGAGTTTAAATTAAAAATATTTGAATAAGTTTATTTAATTAAACATTAATTGACAAAGAAACTATATAAAAAAAAGCGTTTCTTACTTTATATATTTAATATGTTTATTTTATATTTGTTATATTAAATATAAATATATCTATACGAAAAATCTTCTTCATATTATATTTAATGAAAATAAAATTTCATATTTATTCATTCATTTTTGTTTTATTTAATAATATAATTATTTAAAATAATTAAAAATATTCTAATATGGATTTAATAAAATGTACTTTATTATATAATATATAATTGAATCGTTCTCATTAGTCAATAAGATATTTGGTTTTTTTTTTCTCAGTCAACATATGTAAGATGAATATTTGAATAGAACTTCCGCTCATATTAAATCATCAGTTCATTCACGTTTTATATAACAAGAAAAAAAAAACATTTTCTTTTTTCAACTTGATTATCTTTTCAAGTATCATTTATACTTTAAAAACATTTTTTTTTAATATAAATCGATTGTCAATTGAATTATTTAGAATATTTCACAAGGTAGAAATAAAACAAGGTGTCATTCTATTTTATTTTTCATCTATTATAAATACTAGCATGTTTTTTTCCTAAAAATTTGTTTTATATATTAATTTGAGTAANCTTCAGATTTATAACTTTCAGATGTTTGATTAAAACCACAAGCTGAACCAGCCGATCTTGATAATGTTATTGTTGTTAAATCTCTTCTTTCATAAACCCAACATTTATAATTATTATAAGGATCATCACGATCATATGTAACCATCATTGATCGAGAATCTTCTCTCCAATACCCAGCACATTGATATATATAATCAGGTTGTTCATAAACACCAATTGGTGTTCCATATGGATCTAATTGTCGACAATATTCACGATCAGCAAACATTGATTTTGTTTGATCACCACATATTGACCATTGCGATACAATATATTCAGGTTGACATGTTATATACCAACCATGATCACGTGGTCTAGGTGTAACACCACCACGAATTCGTGTTTGAATTAATGAACTTGATTGTCCAACTTGTTTAAATATCCACATACCAGTAAATGGACATTCAATTGGTGCTGGAGGATCCAAAACAAAAACTTGATATTTCCAATTAGCAACATTACCAAAACTTGTCCATGAACAAACTTCATAAAAAGGATCACGATTTGGAAATAAGTTATATAAATTTGACATAAATGATTTTGATTTTCTATATCGAAGAATATTATGATGACGATCTTTAAAATCAAAACAAATATAATATGAAAAACATTCTCCTTTGGTAACAGATTTAACTAAATATTGACTACGAGATGTTTGTTGGCAAATATAATAAGTTTCTCTTAACCATCCACGATTATTAACTTTGGCTATTTCATGTATATGTGTTGCATTTATTAATACACGAGCATTAACATTTGCTGTATTTATCCATTGACCCGTTAAATTGCTTGGAAAATAACATGATGATGTTGGCTAAAAAATAATTTAATTATTATTTCACATTGATATTCGACTTAGAATTTATTTTTTATATAAAAGCAATAAATCATCTCAATTTATATTCGAGAGAGAGAAAAATAGTAGTGATTTTTTGAATTAACAAAGTTAATTGAGTCGAGTTTAATTAATGTGATCTTAATTAATATTTAATTTGATTTGATTATTTAAGAAAAAGAAAAAATTGAATTTACTATCATAATAAAAAACTTTATCGATTTAATTAAATTTATTTAGAAATGAACTAGAGAATTAAATATATTGGTAATAATTAATTTTTATCTAAATAAAAGACTATATTCATATTTAAAATAGCGAATAGTTCATGATAAAAAAATAGATATAATATATGTAAATACAAATGAAAAATGATTAACTACTAACTTCTTCTGGTATGATAGGTGTAATAATAACTTTTTCTGGTCCATCAGTTGGACTTGATAAAGAAGAACATTCAGCAAATAAAGATTTAGCAAACCATTGTGGTTGATCTTTTCGTGTTAACATACAACGAAATTTATCATACCAACGTTCTGATCCAACACGTTCATTAGCAAAAGCAGTTATTATATTTCCATCTGTAGTTAACCATGATCCAAGACATTGATATAATTGATCAGCATCAAATGAAGATGTTAAATGTTTACAATATCCATATTTCATTCTAAAACGTTCATTAACAGCTTCAAATGGAGTTCCAGGATCTGGACAAGATATTAAACGTGATGTTGGATTATCACATATACCAATACCACCTTCACGAAATTCATATGTAAAATGATATGTTCCATACATTGTTCGACGACATTCTTCCGCTGAATAACTTTTTGCTAAACAACATTCCATTTTTGTAAATTTTTTTTTATTTTTTATATTTTAAATAAAAACTTACAAAAAAGTGTTATAAATTCACTTTGTTCATCAATAGTTCGACATAATTCCTCAAAATTCATTTGATTTGTTAGTAAAGTTATTTCTTCACATGAACCTATAATAATAATAATAATAATAATATTTTATTTTTTTCGTCGAAAAAACCTCTTCAAATACTTTTTCTTAATTGAATTATATTTTTTGTTCGGTTAAACATTTGATAACATTGAAAGCAAGATTGAGATCTTGGAGAAAAAAAAAGTTTTCTTTAATGAAAAAAGAAAAACAAAATACTTGTCACGATAAATAAGTTCATAATAATATCGTTTAAGATTTAATTGAAAACATTCTCCAACATCTTTACTAACTAAAAGACCTCCACTATCTTTTTGAGTTGCACCAGCACCTGATTCACGACGATAATAAAGTCTATCAATATCTCCATTTAGTTTCAATGATGTATGAGTTTCAAGGCCATTTTCATGTGAATAATATTCACCCAATAAAGGTTGATCAAATGTACATAGACCTATTCCAACTAAACAACAATTTCTTTTTTACTTTTTACATTTATTTATTGATTTATTAAACAAACCGGTTAAACGCAAAAAAGACAACACAAATAAGAATATTAACATTGTTCTTGGAACAAAAGAAAAAAGAACAAGAACAAATGAATATGAATGAGTTCAATCAATGAATCAGCCATTTTTTTTTTCAATTTGTATCAATAAATGAGACTCTACAGGTAAAGGTCATTCAACGATAGATGGCATTCTTTTTATTCACACTTTTATACAACTCTACAACACATTGAATTGTTGACGATCTTTCAATTGTAGATCTAAAAAGTTGAATGATAAGTTTCAATAATGTTTGAATTGATAAATGCACACTATTTGACATGTTATTCAGAAATTTCGAATATATTTAAAATAGTATCTTTAGTATCAAATAAAAACTAATGTTTATTAGATAAAATATTGTTTATTATAGATAATGATCGATTTAGTTTCATAATAATTTTAAGCGAGTATGCTGTTAAGATAACGTATTTGGCTGTTTATCAATATTATAAATATGATATAATATATCCAATTAAAGAATAAAAAACGATGATTACTTTTTTTAATTGTTAAAATCGGAAAAAATTGATTTTTTTTTTGCCTATTTTATAATGAAAACAAATATCGATCGAAGATGAACTAAAGCTGTTTCAATAGATTAGAATTACAATTAATTTAGAAACTTTGACAATAAACTTTGCTCAATATAAAATAATGGTTGTTCTTCTCTCTTTAGTTGTATCAAGACAAAAAACAAATCTTTCTTATTTATAATTATTTTCTTTATAATAAAAGAGAAACATTTTTCATCAAGTAAAAAGAAAAGGAAAATTCATTCTCTTGAAATTTTTTTTCTTAAATAAATTATTTAAAAGAACTTCATTGTTTACGAGATTTATAGAATAAACTTTTAATAAATGAAAATGTCAATACATATAATATATATATATACGTGTGTGTAAAGAAGATGAACATTCAATTGTTCTATCTCGAACAGAAAAATACCTGTAAGTTAAGTTCTACTCAATCGATTTTGATAAACCGTTTTTCATAAGTGAATGATCAT